GCCCCCCCCCCCCCCCCCCCCCCCCCCCCCCCCCCCCCCCCCCCCCAGAAACGAAGCCGCTAATATCAACTACTCGAGGAGCGGTAAACAAAGTCCAAAGGCTACGTCCTGTACAATCCTACATGTAGGCGGCGCGCATTATATAATTACTTCTCATTCCATTCAACAATAAGGGGGTAAACATAGCGATGTCTCTATACTGAATGTCGTCTTACAGCTTCTTCACACAAAACGCGTGTTAACCACATCGAATAGAACGACACGCGAATACTTTGGACTGTCTGTTGATGGTGGGGTTGACTCACTGTTCTTGTCTTGTCATTTGTCTACACGTATGAACATATTACGTGAAAAGCGTCGTTAGATCGATGGGCTGCAAAGTCCATTTCAACATCTCTTGGTTTCATCGCTATTCGAACCATGGAATACTCCGAGTCTAAGTTCTCCATGCTTTACCACACTCGATATGAAGTGATTGAGAGCGAAACTAACGAATACTTCGCCGCTAACTAGCCATTCCCCAACGACAATAGTCGCGATAAGTTCCTTGGGGTAGGTTTCTCGCGATGTACCTGCATGTACTCCCCTACGGCAAAGGGCGACAGAATCCATTTCGCGTGCCGCCTTCTCACTCTCTTTTATTCCTCGTTGACGGCGAGTGAAGACGCGACGCCTTCTCACGCTCCAAGAAACGTCGTATGTCTGCCTTAGGTACTCAACCTAATGCACCTATTTTGACCCTTTGGGTACCACAGACGCCCTGGGGAGCATGTCCTTCGAAGATGGCACCGCCTATAACAGGAGGCTCATGCCATTCATCCGGAGAGATGAGGTCACAGATCGCTCAGTTCCCGTTCAGTATATGTCGTACGACTTTATGGCAAAGCATGCGAGCCCACGACCGAGAGAGCTAGCAGACGCGATCCTCGAACCCCTTTTTTTTTTCTTTTTTTCATGCGAGCGCAGGCCGACAAGCGTCGAGCTTGCTCGATGAGTCTAGGAGAATGTCTCGAGTACTACAGAGATAAAGATATCGGCTAGGCATAGGTCTGCAATGTTCGTACAATACAAGGCTTCATAGCTGTAGCTAAGCTGTACAATAACCTACCAATCTTATCCGCATACTCCACTATAGCCTCATTAAAACATCCCAACTTTACAAGGTGGTTATAGGGTTAAAATAAATAGTAAAAATACACGATTTTGGATTTTGGATAAAGATATATAAGTGGTGTATAATCATTACAGTGGTGGTTTAATCCAAGTTAGATTGACTGTATAGAACAGGGCAGAAGTTGAGAAAAGTATCCGTTCTAACTAACAAATAGACGAACTTATTGGTGGGGAGTATGTACGTTTTCTCGAATATCCCTCAACGCGAAGCTTGCCAAACAATTTATGTTACAATAGTTAAATCCGAAATAATCAATTTAAATGTGAATTATACGGCTCGACTTAGGAATCTATTTTCCCCATTTTTTCTATATGTTTTAATCGTAAAGTCAAGTTGATGCGTTTTGGTGAGGTTTTCAGCGAAGTCTGCGCACAAGAATGATAGATCACTGTAAGCTTGACTAATTTGTTTATCCGCAGCCTGCGTTGTTCATTGATGCGACTCTGCCTGGATATAAAGCCTACGCCACAAGAGCTAGATCTTACTCATCTTCCCGCCCAGTCGGCATACCGAGTACCTAGTGGATAAATTAATTGCTGCAATATTGCGTTAGGCTGGGGCTGACACTACTGCCACCGCTGTATCGCGTAAGACCAGCAGCAATAAATATGGAGGTCGCCGACCACGATATCCGATTTAGCCTCGGGGTTTAGGTGGTGTGGTAGGTAGTTAACTCGTTAGGGGCTCCAGTTGTTATGTTGATCTACCAGTATACAAACCTAACTGGAAGATCAGAGGGGCGACAACATGGGGTGAACAAGTCCCCAAGCCCAAGCTGGGAAGAATCAATTCCAAACTCTACTGGTGATGCAGTTACTGGTACTACCTAGCCACTATCATTGGGCCATTCGACAATGTGGCCCCTGAGTGATGTTTGATAATAGCCACTTGGCTTCCTTCCAAGCTGGTATCTCCCTCAAGTCGCGATAGCCTTTCCATGCCCAATGACTCCTGCTGCTCGCCGGATCCTCTCTGGCGCCGCTGGTCTAATATAGCTTCGTTCGCATGCCGTAAAAGCGGGCGCAGCGCGACAAACGAGCTCGCCAGGATCGCCAGAAAAATCTCGACGTGAGACCACAGTATCACCAAGAGGTTGTTCTCGACCTCGCGGAACCTTCCCAGCAATTCTTGGCGGTCGCTGGCGTTTAGTATGTACTTGCATCGGACGACCGTAGCAATGCTGCTTCTGCACCGCTGGTAAGAGGACTATTATCTAGAGCAAGTGAAGAAACTGCCAATTTGTATAAAAAAAGGAGAAAAAAAAAGAACTTACAAAAAACCTATTCCAAGTATAATTATAACCGAGATTTTGAGACGATTGCTCATCTGGACATTATACAGCATTGCGATCGGCAGGAACGAATAAAGCCAATTGGACGCGACGTCGACCACGGAGAGCGCGATGCCCGTCCTCCTGACGGTCTCCCACTGGAAGCAGGACCCGTTGCCGACGCCCCAGTTCAGCGACATCGGGCGGCACTGGAAGGCCAGCAAGAAGAAGGACATGAGCACGACGACCAGGACGACGGTCATCGAGACGACTAGGATACGCCGGATGGACCTCCGGATATCGATTCGAAACAGGACCAGGGCGACGCCGGTCTTGAATAGCGCCGTCGCGAGCACGTAGCAGAGCTGGCCGGCGAAGAAAGACTAGGCGGACGAAGTTAGGAATTCCCTCTCGAGTTGACGACGGGCTACGGGTTGCGGGACAGGATGGGACAACATACCTGAAAAGCCTTCTGCGAATCATGCCATGGCTCAGCTGCAGCAACGCCGTATCCGTAATGCAAGGCGGCGAAGGTAAATGCGGAAAAGAAAATATACCCGAGCTTAACAGACAATCCGTGATATTAGTAAAAGGGGGTGGTGGTGGTGGTGGTGAATTGGGAGATATGTATGGCATCTACGTTAGGGGGCGCATACAAACAAGAAGCAGAGGACCGCATCGTCGTATCCGAAGAAGCGCTGGACTCTGAGCCGGACCCAGGAGCGAAGCCCGAGGGCTGCGCTGTCGATTACCAGGGCCGCGATCACGAGCCCGAATAGGTCGTCAGCGGCTGCCATGGCGTCGGCGCCTTGCTGTCGACTTATGTATCGTGTCGAAACAAGTAGGTAGGTAGGTAGGTAGGTATTGTATGTATTAATAGTACTAGATAGGGTAGACAAGCGACGGATTCTGTCAACTATTACATGAGTATGTCATGTCATTAGGCTAGATATATTAAAGCGCAGCCAAGAAGCGGAACTGGGCTTCCGGCGAGAGTAGGCCTCCTACACTCTAGTTTTCTTGACATCTCTAAAATCGTCACTGCCCCAAATTCTTACTCAGATTAGTAGGCTATAGGTAGGTAGACATACCGGGGGGTATACATTTCTTACTAACCATACAGGATGCATAGATATCTCTACCTAAGGTACCTACTCTATAAAAAATCGGTTGCAGCGCTTACATGACTCATTGGAATGAAACTCTAGACGTCAAGTTACGTTGGGGGGCGGTGGGGAAGGGGGCTGAAGCTTGACGTGACATTCTTCGGTGTGGTTGGTGACAGGTAACCTATAAGCGCACAAAAAGACATCTCGTCTTTGACTTTATATAAAACAAGGCTATTCAGTCCATCCTATAGGTAAGTTAGGTAGTAACATAACGAAGCACCCCAGCAAGCAAGCAAGATTCACGATACCCTTCTAATAAACATAAGGTGGGATTTTTCTACCAAGCTTCTCTCTTCCACCGAGACAAGCAGCAAGCAAATACCGAGCTTTTTATACCTAAATCCTCCTTTTCCAAAGTTACACTTATTTTACACGGTGTGCCTCATGTTTCTTTTTCTCATCAAGCGACATGACGTACGCCTACACCAAAAGAAAAAAAAAACGAGATAGGTATAGGTCTGTCTGCCTATTTGTCTCTATCTGTCAATGACCCTTTTTTGATTATAAAAAAAACAACGTTAGGTAACAGTAATGCATACTATACCCAACAGGGTACGCTAATACAGACGTCCGGCGGCCTTCGCGGGCCTCCATCATCTTACTTTCTAGTAGGCCATAGGCTATAGTCAATGCTTCTAGTACGGTTCTCTCTCCCCCTTTATCTTCCCCCCGCGCTTGCTATATCAAGTGCGCTGTACATAGAAAGTGCTTATATGGCAAGGCCGCCCAACACAATCAGGAATGTCTCGCGCTCGTCACTATGCCTAGTAATAGCCGGCCGCGTGCCTCTATCTCATCTTCAACGGAAGCCGGGTATCGAGATATAATATACTTAGATAAGCTACTAAGAGCAACTAGATTAGCTATCCTGTTTCTCGTTCGGACCACCGGCAGGAAGACTTTTCGGGGCGAGTCCGTTCGGCGCCGGCGGAACCGGCGGCGGAGGTGGTCCGCTGTCACCCCTTCCCGGAGCAGGGGGGCCCAGTTCGCCCGGCGCTGGAGGCAAAGCAGATGACGGGATAGCCATGGGACCCTTTGGAACAGCAATGCGGTTGGTCAACCGCTCACCACGGATGACTTTCTCAACCTCCTCTTTGCTTAGCGTTTCGTACTCGACTAACGCCTTAGCCAGTAGGTCAAGTTCCTTGCGATGGGTTATTAGGAGTTTCCGAGCTCGCTCGTAGGCTTCATTCAGTGTACGCTGAACTTCAGACTCAACTTGGGCTCTGGTTTCGCTGCTCAGAGTTTCGTATCGGCTTCCGTACTCCATGTTTCCGAGCTTAGAAGACATGCCCAAGCTTGCGACCATGTCGAAAGCGACAGCTGTTGCTGCTTGAAGATCCTGTATTGATGTAATTAGTACAAATCCATACTCGAAACCAAAAGAAAGCGAAGGGATCCATCCTTACCGATGATGCGCCACTGGTAACCTGGTTAACTCCGTAAACAATCTCTTCAGCAAGTTTGCCTCCCAGGGCAATATCAATCCGGGCTAGGTAATTGCTAATAGTGTAGGAATACTTATCCATCTCCGGAAGAAAGGCTGTGTGTCCGAGCGTTCGAGCACGAGGGAGAACGGTGACCTTGTACAAGCTCGTAGCGGAACCCTTGGTCAGTAGGTTGACAAGCGCGTGGCCGGCCTCGTGATAAGCTGTCATTTCCTTCTCTTCGGCACTGATAACCATAGTCCTTCGCTCGGCACCCATAATAACTCTATCCTTCGCCCAATCGAAATCTTCCTTGCGGACCCAAGGGGCTTTGACCTTGCTCGCGTGAACAGCAGCTTGATTGACAATGTTTTCGAGTTCGGCGCCAGAGAGTCCAGAAGTACCTTGGGCAATAGCCTGGAGATCAACGTCCGCAGCAGCCTTGATCTTCTTGGCGTGGTGCTGAAGGATGGCAAGACGACCGCGAACATCGGGTAGGTCAACAACAACGTGGCGATCAAAACGACCTGGTCGAGTAAGAGCCTTGTCGAGTGATTCAGGGAAGTTGGTGGCTCCGATGATGATAACGCCGGTGCTCTGATCGAATCCGTCGAGTTCAGTAAGGAGCTGGTTCAGGGTCTGCTTCACATATGCCGCGTCGCGCGCATTGCGGCGACCTCCTATGGCATCGAGTTCGTCGATGAAGACGATAGCAGGCGATTTAGACTTAGCAGCCGCGAAAAGGTCTCGAACCCTCTTCGCGCCTACGCCAACGTAAACTTCGTCGAATTCACTACCTGACATGTAGAAGAACGGGACACCAGCCTCGCCAGCAACTGCCCTTGCAAGAAGAGTCTTTCCGGTACCAGGAGGGCCAACCAGCAGAATACCTTTGGGAAGCTTACCACCTAGCTGGGAAAACTTTTCGGGGTTGCGCAGAAATTCGACCATCTCTTGCAGTTCTTCCTTGGCTTCGTCAGCACCGTGGACGTCTGAGAATCGAGTTTTCTGGACTTCCGCCTTGACTTCGCTATCGACTCGGCCTGAAGGTCGTTTCAGAATGCTCAATACATCGATAAGCATGGTTACAACGACTAGACTAAGGTAGGTGAAGAGACAAAACCACAGGAGGAATTTAACCCAGCGAAAGACACTGCCACCGAGAGTCTCGTCGACGACAACATGAATAGGACCGTCTTTACCACTAGTAGCTTGGCCACCCTTGGAGACAGCCAAGTTACCACCGCGAGATCGAGCAGCAAGAGCCTGAGAGACAGCTTGGACTTGGGTAGGAGTCAGATTTCCCGGTAAGTTCTTAACAGTTTGATTCACATCCTCATCTGGAATTCCTTGACCAACGTTCGGAGTTAGCATGTTCAACGCCTTATGATAAGCCTCGGTTGCTGCAGCATTCGTTGCGAAGCGTCCAGACTGGTATCTCTCAACGATAATAGCGGGCATATTAGCTTTCAATAAGGCCTGATAGAATGCATTCTGGGCAGTAGGACTGGTCGGGTTCTTATTGGCAGCTTCTTCCATGTGGGCAAGCAGGTTCCTAGGCAATCCAGAAGTTTGAAATGATCTACGCTGGGGTAGATTCATCTTCGTAACCTGGTTCGAGAACATACGTGGAGTAGCAGCCGTTGACATAGAGCGGAGCGATAGATACTGCGGGTATAGGCGATGTACCACCGGATTCGCCGCAATGAGTGCGGTACGCTGCATACTCGAAATGGAGGAGCGGATATCGAACGGAGCGGGAATATTCTTTACAGAGGTGGTAGGCATGAGACGGGCATCGAGTTTGGCATCTCGAAGAAACTCGGGAAGTTCAAACTTGGGATTAACCGAAGAGGGATTTGGTTGGGCATGGGCATGCGCCTGTTGAAGATCTGATTCGACTTTTCGGGCTCGGGGTGATTTCAGATTCGAAGGCGGCAACGCTGGGGCTCGGAATGATACCGTCAATGTGTTCAATATTGATGGCCATAGTTCCGTAGTCGCCGCCGCGATGCTCGGCAGAGCTGACGTTTGAAACGCCATGGCGACTCGGCTCAAGTTCGCGCTTGGTCAGTCAGTGTAGGAAGGATAATAGTTGCTCGCATTGACGGTGTTGAAGGATAGTTTGATGGATGTTAATATGCGCAAAGAGTGGCGGCGAAACCAAGAATTAGATAGAAATAGAAAGGCCGCCACTGATTTCTCAACGTAAAATTTGCCTGATTGAATAGAAATAAATCTAAGGAAAGGGGAGAGCGATCAGCTTCTGATTGGTGACTGAAGAGGAGGCCGCATTCTCCTCGAACGGGAATTGCAATGCCTTGAAGTTGCAGTCACTAGAATTAGAAGTTGAAGGAAAAATGCGGCGAATCTCAGATTTGGTCTACGTTGGTGATGTGATCCCCCCGGGCAGGTGGCAGGTGGCAGGTTGCTGGGCTGTTCTTACCAAATCAGCCGGTCTTCGGCGAAAGTTTAGAACCGGATGTGCTTAAGCACATATTTTAGTTCAACAATTTGCTCAGTTACGGGTAGAAGACTATTGTTATCCCTTATCGCCGTTATCTGCAGTAGGTAACCCTTCCAGTTACGTACGGTTCTTAGAATGTCGTCACAGTGGGATCACCCACGTGGATACAACGGCGTCCCATTCTAGAATTTATTTAGCTTCAAAGATAGTGGGTATACCATTCGTGCACAATACCTGTAAGCACCTAACATACGATTTCTAGGTACTACTTAGTGGATGTGACACTAGTATAGGTATTAGGTCAACCGTCAGGGTAGATTAGTGCCTCTACCTCTACCTCTACTAATAAGAGCCCATCCTATACTTACTTACCTTTTAGCCTCAACACACTACAAGATATAGTATAGTAATATCCAGGTCAACACAAAACAAACAAGTCATCACCAAACTGCCTGCAAAGATAGTCTTAATTTAATATCTTAACATATATCTCTACCTTAGGTACTCATTATCAAGTCTAACAAGTCTAGCAAGGTCTAATAGGTCTAACAACCTACCCGATCGATATATGCAATGTTCAGTCTTGATCAATCACCCTTCGTCAATCCCCGACGAATCGCAAGGACATTGTCCACGATCACCGCATCGATGCCTTCTTTGACTTGTCGCTACAATAGTAAAATAATCGTTAGCATCTAGCTCACTTACTTTTTTATATGGAGGTGTATTAACCAATTCCTCATGATGAGAATTTCATATATAAAAAAGGAGAAGGAGAAGAAGAAAAGAAAAAAAGAAGAAAAAACTTGCCTGGACCAAAGTAGGATCATTATTCTGAACCCCGTAGCTGACGCAGATCAACCCGGTTTGCTTCACCACCTTGACCAGCCGGGGGCTGTTGACGAACACCTCGGCGTTGCTCACGATGCCCAGCAGGTTCCAGCGGCTCGCGAACCGGATCGCCTCCTGGAGGCTGCTGGCCCGGATGTCGCTCACCTCCTCGCTGCCCGCGTCCGTCAAGAATAGAATCGGGATGCTCGGCTGCTTGAAGCTCAGGCACAGGCATATGTCCGGGTTGAAGCTGCTGAAGATGATGTGCCGGTTCCGCGTCAGGTCGTACACCTTGTTCAGGACCGTGTCGCAGAACGAGTTCAGCTCGATCGCGTACGTGTCCATGTCCTCCTTCTCGCTCTCCAGCAGCATCGGGTACTTCATCTCGATGTTGAACCCCACGTTTTCCGGTATCTTTTTGAAGAGCTCCTCGAGCGTGGCAAACGGTGCTTGGACGAAATTGCCTCGGGTATTCGCTTTGTAGCCCTTCTTCTTGAAATTGAGCGTGTATTTCATGCGCTCGTCGAGGTTGTTCTTCACGCCCTTGGCCAGGTCCACGGAAAGAGATCTTTGCCTGGTTCCGGGATCTTTTGCACCGTTGCCATTGGTATTGTCCCCATTCTTATCGGGCGATTCTTTTCCAGATCGCGGCTGTGACTCGTTATTGATATGAAGGAATTGCTCCAGGGTTAGCGTATGAACCGGTGCATCTATACCTGTCTCGCTCACTAAGAAATCGTGATAGATGACAGGCACATGATCTTTAGTGAGCTGGACATCGAATTCAACATAATGAGCTCCCAAGTTGGCCGCGGCAATGAATGATGAGACGGTATTTTCACCTAACTGGAGGGATTTATTCTCAAGGAAATTCTTGCCAAGTCCACGATGCCCGAAGACCATAGTAGAAGACAGTTTCTTCCAATACGTCTGGTGCGAGTTGATTTCCATGTTTGGATGTGAGAATGGCGTAATGATGAGGAAGTTAAAGTTGACGGCCCCGATAACTTCTAGATTTGCTCCCAAGATCGGTACGCACACATCGCCCTGGAGGTTCATTCGTTTCGTCCCAAGTGACGGGCGGACTGATGATAGTAATGCTACCGCGCGGCCAATCTTGTTCTTCTCATTACCGGAATAGGTAGGCACTATATCGAAGAGCAGCCTAACGTTTGAGGCATCTGAAGTAGTAAACAAGATCGGTTCAGTAGATATGTTTTCATGGACCGGTAGATCGACGATAGTTGGTTCCCCCTGAGCCCCGTGTGCTGAAACTACGATGGATAGGGCCGTATCCAGTTGGTTCGTATGTGCTGCTGCCAAAGGGACCCGATCGAGCTTAACAGCCTCGATATTTCTACGCATATCCATAGATCCTAAGCTCACCATCACAAGGCTGCTATCTTTCAGATAACGATGACCGAAAGATTTAATAGGCTCCGTGATCCGGGTGCTCCCATCTGATTTTCGGTCTTCCAGAGACGAAGTTTCTGGAGGGGAGGACGAGACCGGAGGCTGCGCTTGAGTTTCCTCCGCGCTTTTCGGGGATGGTGAGCTAGTTTCATGTTCCGCGAGTAGATTCGCAATATTCAGATGTCCTCGTAAAGCTGCGTGCTCCTTGGCGGTCCACCCAAACGAGTCTGTTTTCCCAACATCCGCTCCGGCTTCCACTAGCAATTGCGCTACGGGAAGATGGCCATCCACGGCTGATATGTGTAGAGGAGTCCATGCGAACGACTTCTCTGCCAACTCCAACTTCACCTTCTGCTCGGGCGAACCCTCAATTAGGATCTTGGCGCACTCAACATGTCCAAATCTAGCAGCAATATGCAACGCGGTCTCCCCTGTTTCGTCCTGCCAGTTGATATCTATGCCGGCCTCCACAAGCAATCGTACGATGTATACGAAGTTTGCTTTCGTGGCCAGTGCCAGCACAGCGCTCGATTGGGACACGGATTTCCTGGCAGCTCCCTCTGAATGGGTCGGACCCTGCCAACTCTCTCCCTGCAAAAGGCACTTTGTAGTCAATGGATGACCCCCTATAACTGCAAGGTGGAGCGGCGCATTTCCTTCTTTATCTTGCCACTGGGGAGCATCAATTCCATCTTCAACGTTGAACTGTCCCCATTCCTGCATTTTCGCCATGACAACCTGGCAGAGTACGACGATACCAAATTGCGCCGCATAATGCAGAGGTATACGTTCTAGCGAGTCCTTAGCTATCAACGCACGGCGCTGCTCCCCTTGGAGGGAATCAAGAAGATAGCACAAAAGCTGTACTGTCTCGTCGTCTTTGCTCAATAATTGCGTCTCGCTGCCGTTTGCTGGTCGTACCGTCGTGGAACCGTTAGTCTGGGGTGGCGCAACATAGTGGCTATGAAAGTGAGACTTTATCGGAAGCGAGACGGCGTTAGGTTCTAGATCGCTAACTTGTGATGATTTACTCCGACCGATGTGGATAACTAGGCGGTGGACGCAGTTCCGCTCATTTATGTCCCCTGGCTCGTCTAGCGTCTTGGTTTTCCCCAGAAGATAGGCAAGGCAAGCCTTCGACCGGGCGGAAATGGAACGCTGCAGGAGATTAAGTACTATTTCCTGAGAAGCCTGCTCGGATACCACCAGCTTTTCGCTTGCCAAGCTACTTTGCAACGTCGCGACATCGTCCTTGCGAATCGCGGCGTCTAACTGGTCCAAAACAGGCTGCGCAACATTTAACATGGCCTTCGTGGTCACTCTTCCGAGCGAACGCACCGAGCGCGTAGACTTATCCGACTTAGCATCGTCGAAGTTCTGCGCATCTCCAAGCGCGGAGAGCCACTTGTTAATTTCATTGATTAGTCGTACAACCGTGGTATCCTTGGCGAACGGTTTAGGGTCGACCTTGGTCGTGATGTATCGCTGCTGGGTGGTCGTGTTCGGTACTTTTTTATCGAGCTTTTTTGTAATCTTAACAAAGCCTCTGCGATTTATTTCGCCAAACCACTGTAAATTGCGGAGCTGGTTTCGAAGCTCGAGCAAAGCTCCCATAAGCTCCTCACTTTCCTGTTCGTCCAACTCCGCGACGACGCCCGGGCTTCTACCGTACCTATCCTCGAGAAGCTTGATACGACGATGGGCCTCGGCGAACTTCTTGTTGTAGAAGGTGTCGACATCTTCGAGGTTACGGTCCAGAGCGAAGAAAAACTCTGTGCATATCAGGTTAGGGGGTTGCAAAGGGTTTCGACGTAGTGTCGAGAAGTTAGCCCACCTGCTAGATCTACATCCTCTCCCGCATTTGCGGCGTTCGTAGCCGCCTTAATCAACTTTTTCAATCCCTTGTAATCGATATACGAAGATGACCACTCGGGGACTTCGTTACGAGGTAAACTATAAAAAGGTGTCAGCGCTTATCCGCGGAATTTAGGGCAGGGCCGTAATATATGCTAGTGAGCCTTACTTTCTTCCGAACTTCATCTTGCGCCTGTCTTTCCCCAGTGGGTAGATGGGCGTATGGCGTATGGAGTATAGCGTATGGCCTTACAATAAAGAAGAAAGGCTGATCCGGCAGAATAGAGGTAAGAAATTTGCGAGTTAAATAGAAGTAGAAGTAAACTCTGGTCAAGTAGCGAAAATGACTATGATTAACTCGATGGAGTGACTGATGTCGAATAAAAAGTAATCCATTAGCTTTGAAGTTATTTTCGTGACCATCAATCGTCCCCAGAGAAGTAAGTGTACCTGACTTACATCAACTTAGCGCTCTAAACTGGACGAATTTAGGTATAATATTGTTAACAGCTGTAGAGAAGAAAAAGAAAATAGCTGCTAAGCAAACAATATGATTTTAAGCCAAAAGTACCAAAGGTAGTACCTAGGAGGTAGGTATGTTATAGGTACTTTAGATAGCAACGGTCGCTCGGGTTACTCGAGATCATACGAACGATGTTACGTGGCTCGGTAGATATTATGAATAGCCTGTTGACTGAACTTCTTGCTGTCGAAGGCCAATGTTTAGGTCCATTGACGTTTACTAGGTTTTTTTTTTATTTTTTAGTGTTGTCAAAGTCGAAAATGATACTTCCCTCGAGGGTGGCAAACGTAAGAAGAAAAAAAAAAACTAAGATCTAAGCCAGGTAACAACAGTTACCTTATATAGTACCTCTTAGTATAAAGGGGTAAAAAAAGGTAAGGACCAATGCTACTTAATAGACTTTTTCTTTTTTTTACACCGCAAAACGTCCCGGCGTCGACGTGTATTGCAGTAGGAGGTACCTGTTTATGGTAGAGTCTGGGAAGAAGCTTGGAAACACATGCGAGAAGTGAACCATGACCATACCTCTATGTAGTAAGAGGTATGGAGGGGAAAGAGCAGAATGCAGCCGGACCCTTAATGCTTTGAACCTGGTATCTTCCCAATGGGCTCTTAATGGACCAGTTACGCAGCTTCATGCTGTCTCTAGTGACGCAGTAAGCTTTAGATCAACCCGTCCAGGCCGTCAAAGACCATCGAAAAAGCTCCGCTTTTTATTTTATTTTTTATATTTTTTTATATTTTTTAATATTTTCCCGGGCGGTGAGGTTGGAATAATTAAGTTTTTAGTTGGCTTGTGAAGTTGTGGAATCTCGAAGGGGGGCCAGTAGATCCTTGCTACGGGGAGACGTGATGTAGATGTAGATGTCTGATTGGCTGGTCGGAAACATTTACGATGCCACATCCACCAGTCCGAGCATTTGCTACCTAGGTACGTAGGCGCTCTCCAATAGCTGTACCTATAAAGTATATCTTCACGCTGATTACTTGACAATTATACTTATAAATACTTTTAATCCCACGGCCACGTTCATAAGAACCCTGAGTTTATGCAACTTGTACCTAGGAGGAGGTACCTAGGTAAATGCGGGAATGTAATACGGAGGCTCCGCCATACATGCATCATGATCAACTATCAAATAAGCTCCATACTTTTTTATCATGACGCAGATATCTTTAAAGTTACCTAGGTAAGTACTCTCTACCTACCTTGAAAATATAATCCGGTGAACAATTACCCGCCGTGTTGACCTGAGCAATATAATGTTACCGTGCCATCTGTGTGTATTGACTTATCACGTAGGACATCGGGGCATATAATAGTAATAGTGAGTGTACTGGATGCACTTACCTACCTAGGTACCTACTGACCTTTAGCATGTCTGCGATGGCGATGGGATGTTTATGCATGGACGGATTCCATGTCTCGGCGTTAGTATCTTTCGAAAGATAATCCCGCAGACCCTTAGGTTAGGTTAGGTACACACCTAATAACGCACTCAACAGCCACCTGATCGCCTATCCTAACTGGTTCTGATAGATGGCAGATATTAGCGTAAGAAGACAAGGCACATAGAGATGTACCTCGAACGATGGAGGTTAGGTATTTCTTATTTTGGAATCCGGTATCGGGACTGGAGCCAGGATCGTAGCCGTGGCTATTAATGGGCACATTACTATGCCGCAACCGAGCGAGCATAAGATCAGTTGACGACTTAAGTTGTACACATTACCTACCTAAGGTAATCTAGGTAGGTAGGTATCGTTGTTCTATATAGGTACAAGGGGATAGGGATAGAGGTTTGGCTCAAGACTCCCTTGATTCTGTGCCAAGCTTCCCCGGGATCCGATTAAGACCCTCCCCTCCGCTTTGCAGGACATATCTCATTCTCACCCCTCATCCTAACGCGGATAAGGGAAGAGTGGCGTCACGCAACCCAGACGAACCCGCTGCGCCCAGCCCAGCATTTAGGTCATCTAAAGGCATACCCCCTTTACTGTCTGGGTGCGCCGCAGCAAGACCAGAAAAATTCTTTTTAACTTGGACAAGACCTCCTGATATCCCTAGTAGTTTCTCGCCAGTTCGCTGTATGACTTCCTTAAAGATGGTCCTCCGCAGTTGGTATTTATAAAGTTTCTTGAAGGGCATTTTGTAAAAATTTGGATACTGGAACCTAAGCTTCCTCTGGGTATCACCACTAAGATGAGCAAACAATATAGCTCTGATCGTGTTTTCGATGTTGGTAAGCTCTCGCTCTAGTTGGCCTATGGGCGCGCTAGAAAAGCCGACTTCAAGCTCATTGGTATGTGTCATGCCCGATGCATAAAAACTTGTCAATGCCCTTATAGCCAGATTCTCTGGATGGCCAGAGTCCCCTAATCTTCTCGATAATATAGGATCAGGCAGCCGTCGAAGAAGCTGTGACCTTATATCATCTTTTGTCATTGGACCCAGGCTGATTTGAATGTTTTGCAGGGCATTGACAAGTGAATCATGACGGACCCGCTGATACCAAAGGAAATACTCCCGTTGATACCAAATTGAAGATTCCTGCTTAGAAGTGAGGATTGCAGAAGGGTCAAGCTCATATCCCGTCTTAATTTTAAGAATAGTAGCCTTTGCTAAAGCCGTCGTGTTCTTGATCCTTGTCTCGAGATCGCGGAACCTCCTTTCAATAGAAACAAGTTCTGCCAGCCTGCCGAAATGAGCGAGCGACCTTGCCGCTTTTTGCCTGCTCTCCTGAGCTAACTCGAGCGTAGCAAGAGCTTTATCGAGCCGGCTAACTAATGGACCACTCGAAGTAATTTCTGCCAACATGGCCGCATATAAATTTGCCGCCGCTTCCACTTCTAGCCCAATCCGAGTAACTTTGATTAGAGAATTGAGCTCCTGCAAAGCCTGATCGTAGGATCTAGCGACGGGCGTGAAACTGAAGGGAAGCCGACAGAGGTCGACCAGATTTGAGAGGCACATTACAAGTCGACGCGAAGTATCTATCGACTCTTGACGAATGATATAATCAATCCAAGTCGCAAAGCTACGTATGTTCTTGGCCAATCCTCCCGCCAACCGCCGTGCTGCAGAGTAATCGACCGTTGATAGACATGCCGTAAAGAGTTCCTGAATCGTTTGAATAGCAATCGTACCTCCGTAACGGATGCACGTCACAAAGGCCATACTAGCATTGCCGAGTTCTCCGCAGTATAACCAACCTTTAATAATGCTAGTAAATACAGTGTCCGTTCGCCGCATTCGTTCGACATATGCATATTTCCGCGAAGCGCAGTTCTCTATAGCCCACGCTAGCCAGTCTCGCGTATAGATTGCCTTCTTGTCGATAATTCGGAAGTGTAGGCCATCGCCTCTGACGCCCCTCATCCGTTGGATAATATCACGTATACCGTCTTCCTGGTTTACCCCTCGGTAGTGATCGAGCAGGCATACGGCGGTTTGCTCGGTAGCTGGCCAGGTCGTCCTGTGAATATATGAATCGATAACCGCCTGCGCAAGATCAGGGCGTTGGATCCGGTTGAAGCCTGCAATCAAGGTGTTATAAGTGTGGATACTCGGAGGCACACCAACTGTTAAGAGATTAAAGCATATCTTGGTTACGACCTCCTTAACATCTACGGTGTGATTGAAGATACGCCGTATTGACTCCCCAAGGAGAAATCGAGTCCTAGCCGCATAATTGGGGTCCTCTCTAGGCTGATTATAACTTGGATAATGAAATGTCTCTAGTATATTCTTCAGCTGTTCATAAACAGCATCATCCGAACCATTGGATTCTGCATCTTGACTCGGGGTGCACTTGTAAGTCCGACTTCGCTCGATGAGCTGATTTACCAACTCTACAACTGTCGCTGTCGTTCTTCGGAGTTGGTGATCGGATTTTGGTTCTCTAAGAACATTCCCAGGGTCTAGTTCCTCCGCGACGATAGCGGATTCGACGTGCGCCCATTCTAATTGAGTTTGCATCCACGACGGACGGGACAATGGCCGTCGAGTAATTTCGTATAAAACTCCTAACTCTTGCAGTAGGCCATTGGTACCAATATGACCTCTCCTTCTCGATCCGTCACTGCAAGTGTGGGAAGTGGAAGTATTTAAAAAGCTGGAATCGGGGCTGTCAACCCCTCCACCTTGTTGGCTTGACGAGTTTTGGACGCCGGAGCTACCCAATGCGGCCCTGGCCTTCTCCAGCTTCTCGTCGAGTTCCTGCTTCCTCAGCTCCTTCCTCCGGGCATCAATGACAGTCGCAGTGCCAAGTATAGTTGTATAACAGGCAGTGAATATATCGGCAACGGTTACCTTTCGCCTCGACGCTATGTTCGTGGTACGCCGTACAACCGAATGACTAGAATGGAGGCAGAGTCGACACCGACACGAAGACTGCGCCTGTACAGCCCTCGACAACAGGGAATGCATACCTAAGGCATATCGGCTGTGTTTGTAGGAGCTCAATTGGCGACAGTAACGGTATTGATTGTACTGTTCGCGTTCGGAAAACTCGTCAATTGATTTTATGCCGGGGGTGGTTCGATATCGTGAATCGGAGCTCAGAAACTGATAAATAATTAATTGTAAGCTATCAGAGCAAAATCTTGGTGGGTAGGTAGGTACCGAAGTACCTAACCTAACCTAACCTAGGTACCTAATCCCACTCTGCTCCGATATTATCGTTTTACCTAGGATAGGTAGGATCAAACTTGAGGTTACCTAGCGTATACCTAATGGGCACCTAAGGTGAGTATAAGAAGTAGGGTAACTATGTAGAATTGAATCTATATAATATAATACGTATATATATTATGCACGCTATAAAATCAATAGTGGCAGTTCAAGTATAATAGCAATTAATACTACTGATACTAGGTACTGAATTTGCATAAAATTGAAGAGGGTTGAAAATACAAAGTACCAATGTACCTACCTAATCAGAATGGCGTCAAAAAAAGTGCCTATTCCATTACCAAGCAGGTTATTTTGCTATACACATAACTTTACCAAATCATCTCGTAGGTTATCAAAATGACTACTAGAATAATTATAAAATTTTGCTCTTTATGGAAACAATTTTTTGAATTTAATTTGTCTTTGGATTCGCTGAAAACGTTTGGTGGAAGGAATATTGGTGTTAGGCACTTATTTTGACGGCATTCTGCTAATGTACGCGATACGTCATGTTCCAAGGCACTGGAGAGTCGAGACAGCATCGGTAGATAAGCCACACAATACATATACGCCTCGTGACCTCAAGCCACATGTCCCAAATTAGAACCGCGGCCCCCCCCTGCAAAAGCTGCAAAGGGTGCGACGTTTAATTCAAAGCTTACCTTCTTCCAAGTTCGCATTCCGTATTCCGTCGTCACCATTGACTTTGGAGCGCAGTCCATCAACAATGGCTCCTTCAAAGCAGTCCATGTTCCGCTCTGCGGACATGAGCATGGTGCAATTATACATATCGAATGAAATAGGCCGAGAATGTGTTAATGCGTTGGGCGAACTTGGACTGGTCCAATTCCGAGATGTATGTTGCCCTCTCTTGCTAAACCCCGATGCTGATTTGTACGTGTCTTCTACGCATCGAACAACACTAATATCTATCTAGCTCAACGGCAATATTAACGCATTTCAACGAACTTTCACTCAAGAAATTAGAAGGCTCGACAACGTTGAGCGCCAGCTTCGTAAGTCCATGAACAACTTTGGTCGTCGCGAGTCGCGTTGATTGGTCTAACACCGCCTCAGGCTACTTCCATACCCAGATGGAAAAGGCGAACATCCCTCTGCAAAAATTAGACCTTGATGTCGAGACGCTAGCCCCTCCTACTACTATCGAGATCGATGAACTCTCCGAGCGAACTCAAAGCCTAGAACAGCGTATCTTCCAACTCAACGACAGCTACGAAACACTGAAGAAGCGCGAGGTCGAGCTGACCGAATGGCGATGGGTACTTCGCGAGGCCGGTGGCTTCTTCGACCGAGCTCACGGTAACGTCGATGAGATTCGAGCTTCGACCGAGGACGACGACGCTCCTTTACTCCAAGACGTGGAGCAACACCAGGCTGGGGATGCTGAGCGTTCCTTTTCTGGTATGAACATAGGCTTCGTTGCTGGTGTCATAAACCGCGACAGAGTAGCTGCTTTCGAACGTATTCTCTGGAGGACACTTCGTGGCAACTTATACATGAATCAGTCCGAGATTCCCGAACCTCTTATTGATCCAAGCAACAACGAGGCTATCAACAAGAACGTCTTCGTGATCTTTGCGCACGGCAAGGAAATCTTGGCCAAGATTCGGAAGATTTCCGAATCTATGGGGGCTGATATATACAGCGTCGACGAAAACGCGGACCTTCGTCGAGACCAGATGCATGAGGTCAATGCCCGTCTCAACGATGTCCGGAACGTCTTGCACAATACCCAGCAGACCCTCGAAGCCGAGCTCACCCAGATTGCCCAGTCTCTCTCAGCTTGGATGATTCTCATTACGAAGGAGAAAGCCACCTACGAAACGCTCAATCTCTTTTCGTTTGACCGACAGAGACGAACTCTTATTGCGGAAGGCTGGTGTCCTACCAATGACCTGCCTCTCATTCGCACCACGCTTCAAGATGTAACCAATCGAGCAGGCCTGTCTGTTCCGTCCATTATCAATGAGATCAAGACAAACAAGACTCCTCCTACCTACTTGAAAACCAATAAGTTCACAGAAGCCTTCCAGACTATCATTAACGCCTACGGTACGGCGACCTACAAAGAGGTCAATCCTGCTTTGCCTGCTATCGTTACTTTCCCTTTCCTGTTTGCCGTCATGTTTGGAGATTTTGGTCACGCCGCCATCATGCTCTCTGCTTCCTTGGCTATGATATACTGGGAGAAGCCCTTGAAGAAAGTCAAGTTCGAGCTCTTCGCTATGATTTACTACGGTCGATACATCGCCCTGGTCATGTCTGTATTCTCTTTATACACCGGTCTCATCTACAACGATGTCTTCTCCAAGGCCTTCACTTTCTTCGACAGTGCTTGGGAATGGGATGTTCCTGAGGGATGGCAACAGGGTCAACCTCTTGTGGGTAAACTTAAGGGCGACTATAGATATCCTTTTGGTGTCGATTGGTTTTGGCACGGTGCCGATAATGAATTGTTGTTCAGCAACAGTTACAAGATGAAGATGTCTATTATTCTCGGATGGGCACACATGACATACTCTCTCTGCCTATCCTACTTCAACGCGAGATACTTCAAGAGGCCTATTGACATCTGGGGCAACTTCTTACCGGGAATGATATTTTTCCAGTCCATCTTTGGTTATCTTGTTATTTGCATCGTGTACAAGTGGTCCGTGGATTGGTTTGCGATCGGAGAGCAGCCTCCCGGACTTCTCAACATGTTGATTTATATGTTCTTGCAGCCCGGCACATTGGATGTTTCGTTGTACCCAGGACAAAAAGTAGTACAAGTTGCGCTATTGCTCCTTGCCTTCATCCAGGTCCCCATACTATTACTTCTAAAGCCATTATACCTCCGATGGGAGCACAACCGTGCTCGTGCCCAGGGCTATCGCGGTATCAACGAACAGTCTAGAGTGTCGGCGCTTGATGAAGATGAGGATGACGGGCACTTGCAGAGCAACGGCAATGGTCGTCATAGTATGGAGACTGATGACGGCGAAGGCGCCGCTATGATCGCGCATGACGATGACGAGGAGGGTCATGAAGAGTTTGACTTCAGCGAGATCATGATCCATCAGGTCATCCACACCATTGGTAAGTTTCCATTATACTTGATGTTGCGAACATACACACTAACGTACGTCCATAGAATTCTGCTTGAACTGTGTCTCCCACACTGCTTCTTATCTACGTCTCTGGGCGCTGTCACTCGCTCACCAGCAGCTAAGTCTCGTGCTGTGGGACATGACTCTCGGCCCGACTCTTACCATGACGGGTCCCCTCGGTGTTTTCATGATCGTTGTCGGTTTCTATTTGTGGTTTATCCTTTCCTGCGCCATTCTCATTTGCATGGAAGGCTGTAGCGCTATGGTAAGCATCTTCCCAACCCACCCATTTACCCTACCTCGCAAGATACACATCGGCTAACTCCCTCGTAGTTACACTCTCTCCGTCTGCAATGGGTCGAAGCGCAATCCAAGTACGCCGAGTTCGCGGGTTACATGTTCACTCCGTTTTCTTTTAAAACGTTACTAGAGGAGGATGACAGCTTAGCCGAGTTTAGGGGTTAATTAGCATCAAGGAGAGGGTTCCGGTCAGAGTGTTGAGAGTGAGCGAGTGTATGAGTAAACTTGTATTATGCAAATCAGTAGCTGTAGATCTATCAATCAACCCATACTGTTGTTGTAGCCTTTACGCAAGTGTGAACCAAATCATGGCAGATTGTTACAATGCTTTATTCATATTGTTGATAGATTGTCGCGATTTGGTAAATATCTCCGTACGAGTATTCCTAACCTCCATATGGGGAATCTCGGAAGTTTAGGTACCTGTAAAGAGGATTGATCTATGCGATGATTATATACTTGGCTTTGTATTCTTACGATCGGATTTGAGTGTATCCCCGCCGTGTGTGTGTATGTATGTATGTGCTGTAAGGTGCTAATGACCCATTTGGATTCGACTCTTAGTGCCGCTGAAACAACTTGGATATATTTCTTACTTTTATATTTAGGTTAATCTATTTTAGCACTTCATCCATCGCCGCAGTTTTCCAGCACCGACTAGATAGCTACATACTACATAATAATGGCTTGAACTGACAGCATATATAGGTACCCAACCTAGGTAGGTAGGTAAGCATATCATGCAAAAACATTGATTTTTTCTAACAAAATCGCTATGTATTGTTGTACTTTACTACCTGCACTCCTCTATCTCTCGTTCTAGCAGTCCTCGACTTTAGTATGTGTAGGGGGAAAGGGGTAATTAGAATAGAATATCAACTAGAGAGGGATCATAGAGAGGCTCCTTGTCGTAGAACTATCGGTAAGAATGTAGTGCAACAGGTATATAGGTGTCAATAAGAGGCACTGTTGTTTTTGTATTACATATCTAGGTAAATACGGATTTACGAAGTCGTGGTCGTGTTTCTTATCCCATAGCAATATCACCAGATTACTTGATGGGACTCCCTGATCATATGCGTAGCTTTTTTTCTTCTTCTAAAAAAAAAAAAAGGAATACATCGCCTTATTGCTCGTCTATTAGTATCAGTCTTATCATATTGGCCAGAGAGTTTAGGAAAGCGCGGGAGGGTTTCGATGACATTGCATTTGGTACCTACGCCAAAAACTCCGACGATGATTCGCATTTGCAGTGGGCTTTCTATTAGATAACTAGATAGAGTCGCTAGTGTCAAGGCATCCAGAAAGATAGACGGAGATAGGTAGATTACTGGGGACGAGTGACTGCTTGGGAACGAAGGGTTGACACGACCAGTTACGTAGATATTGTTGTGGTAGAAATGTTTACGATAGCACAATACAGGATTCAATCTCATTTCTGGAATTCAACTGGCTATATCGTGATTATTTATTGCTACGTTTAAATATGACTGGCAACATCATCGTAGAAGGACTGGACCTAAGCATCACCTCCAAAAACGATATCGTACATCTTAATATGTACACATAATACAGCCTCATCAAAACACACCACCCCTATCTATGCTACCCCGAAGGTCAGCAACCCCAATATTCCACAATTAAACCAAGACCAAAAGCATTCTTCCTCACATCTCTAGACCAGCCAAAGATTGCAACGAAAAACGAGAGGTTCGCGTCACCTGGAGGCAGTGTAATACCAGGGACACGGTGGGAGCGATCATGGGCAAGCCCAGCGGATGCGCTCCCGCGGGTGCAAAAATAAGAATAATCACGATTGAGTCCAAGTAGGACTCTTTCAGAGATTAAACTGAAAAGAACAGATACTACACTTGATCTAAGCCAAAAGGCAAAGAGAGCTAAAGAAGAAAAGGAGAAGAGAAAGTTTCGAAAGAGAGCGGGAGGGGGAGCCAGGTATTTATAGATTTTCGCTGGGGCGCGAGAGGCCTGCACAGAATCATTTTCGGAAAACTACGCTATGCCTAAAACGGAATTTCAGATGCGACTCCGTAGATCGAGTTTGTTAGTTTTTTTTCTCTTTTTTTGATTGGGCAAACAATTAAGGAAGGGCCCACTCTCCGCAGCCAGTGCGGCAATCACCGGCTTTTCAGCCTCGCCGAAAACCCAAAAGTACTATGCAATAGGTATCAATTTAATTCAGCAAACTTTCCAATAACAAAAAAAAAAATATTAAAAAAATAAAACAATTATTCTATTGGCTACACCTTTTCCATCGCACTACAATTTCTCCAGCTGTAAAAATTCGCGCGGCGTAATTACGTAAACCGACACAGTATTTTCGGGTGCATCTAGCCCTTCGGCTTCGTACTTCCTACGTACACTAAGCAGCTACGGGCGAGATTTGTGTTAATCTTTCCGTGACTCACGGCGTACATAGTAACGGAAAGCGCTTGTGCCTGGTCTAGATTCCTCCATTGGCCGTAAAGTAATGTTTTTAGCGTAAAAAACTTTTCTTTTCTTTTTTTCTGGGTGGTTGGTAACTCTAGCCTACGGAGTTGCGGTACTTAGTGAATGTTAAAGATTTTTTGATTGGCTCATATTGTCTTTGCAGGTGGGTACGTACTGGCAAGCGCGTTTGATCTGCCCCACCACAAAAAAATTTGCAGGCAGGGGCTGATTGCAACCGCGTGCAGGCCCCGGCCCAAAGTGTATAAATACCTGGCTCTCCTCCCGTCCATTCGAACTTTTTTCCTTTCTTCTTCATGTCGACAAGTCAGTCTCACCCCTCCCCCATACCAGCAACTTCTGAGCACCGCAAACTAACCTGTCTTTCGCGATACAGTACTTCAGAGAATCATTTCTATAGTATTCGTCCTACTCTGTGTTCCCTACAGGAGCCACAGATCCCACCCTGGTTGATGAATGATATCCCCGTCGCCCTAGAGTGAAAATTCATACGGGAGCACCGAGGCCTTTGCGCCTCCCTGCTCTTTACTCTCGCTCTGCCCGCAAGGGTGGCGGCCTCTCGCAAGAGGGTGCTGTATAGAGAGTGGTAATGATCTCAACCCCGATCGTCACGGTCTTGCCTTCGGGCGCGTGTCCGGGGTGGGCGATGGTGGACGTCTGACAGGCTTATTTTTTCATTGCTCTTGTGTGCTTGACGCGCAAAGTGAAGAAGAACCTTACTATCCGTTTGTAACCTAGTTTTGCGTCTGTTCGACCTTGCGTGTGGTGTATTGGACTTGGTGTTCGTATCATGTAGTTCGCCTTGTTGTCGCAGTTGATGTTTAAGTCTTGATCTACTTGTGGACTTGCTGGTTATGAAGCTTTATGCAGATCTACCAATTTAGTTGCATACACGATGTCATCTTGCATTTCTAGTATAATATTTTCACTCTTACAAGAGTGCGCACATCTTTTCTCGTATAGTTCTAGCCCTGTTACAATGCGTATTTGGACCGGTCATCTGCCCGTTTGCTGTAATGGTACATAAGGCAACTTACCGAATTACATGTACTCTTGCCAGTTTGTTTTTATGCCTGTTTCCAGAGTAGAAATTATCCCAATTCCCCAAGTCAGATAGTTATAAAAAAAAGTTTTCTCTCCTGTGCAATGCATCCATGATCTTGATACTAGGACGAACTTTGGCTATTGATTTCCATGTTCGCTCTCTCGACTTGCAGCCAAGTTTGGCCATAATAATTACACATATATATATACGAAGTACATAGGTGTGTAATAGTTTCTATATCAATTATTTTAACTAGATCTCCAATATCTTACATAGTATATTTCTAGCATCCATTGGCGTATGACCATTCCCAACGCATCGTGGCCCGTCGGACACTTGTACACCCACGCATCACGGCCAAACATGTGCACATCTACAAGCAGAGCAGGTTACAAAATATCCAAGGTAAATTTCCCGTTATTTCGAATGATCTCCAATTCCGAGTATTCAACCAACTACTTGAAATTAGTTTCACGATGTGCTCGGTGTATATCTATCGTATTGAGCGCCTTCTCGGTTATTGCTACATAAGATACCTTATCCTCTACAATTTTCAATGTAACTATGCACCTATCTTCCAGTAGGTACTCGACCAATATCCACCGATCTTACCTCACGGCTTTCTATGCTTCATATTTTCCTTCGTCGGTTTTTTTTTTTTTTTTTTTTTTTTTTTTTTTTTTTTTTTTCTATTACTTGACTTGACTTGACCTTGACCTTGACCTCGATCTCACCACCATCCGATCCCCTCCACTCTTCCCGATTAGATATATATCTATCTACACCGTCCCTAGTTAACGCAAGTATAGCATAGCATAGCAGCCAAAAGTCAACTAACTCAACGTCAGATACATCTTCCTTTCATCCACTGTAATAATAAATCAGGACCATTATTTACAAGCATCCACCAAGGCACCTATAATAGCCATATTCGATCAAGTAAGTAAGTAAGTAGCTGACCGGGAAAGAGAGGTCTACACGGCTCCTTGACCGAGGCAAGAAGTAGCAGCTTTGGCATATACAAGGCCAACGTCGAATTAGCGATGACCTTCTCACGTCTTAAATCGTCCCTCCTAACAAAAGTCATGGCAGGTATTCTTCCCCGTAAACTAACATAGCATGTAGTGATTTCATATTGGCGTAAACCATTAACCGGACGATGACAAAGTAGGTAGGTACGTACGTACTAATAAAAGCATAGATTTAGTTACGCTTATAGATTTTTATATCTTAACATTCCAACACACATATATATATACATCTAACTGATCTAAGCAATTCTTGATATAGGTTCTATTAAGGATGCTTGTAGAATCCACCGAGCCGTGCCTTGATGCCTAGAGACCAACTAGAACATATTCCCTCAAAGGAGAGCCTCCACAAACTGCCCGAGCTTAAAGGCCGCTAAGAGTAGCTGTACTCTAATAGCGTCCTAACCATGCACCGCCGCCAATTGTACAGAGAATATAAAAAAGTAGTAGGGATATCATGATTAATTAGAAGCCGCAACATTCTATAACTTGAAGCGCACGGCACAAGAAATACTTAACCCAGCTCAAACGTGACGTATGCATCGTGCGACCAGCCCTCAAAAATCAATACCGGCCTCATACGCTCGCCCACCGGTTCCTCGTCCAATCGTCTTATAACTCTTCCAAACACCATCCGGACCAAGAGTGTCGAATCGGCTTCCGCCCATCTCGCCCATCTGACTATCCGTATAACCAGCGAAGAAGAAGCCGATTATAACCACCAAATACGTTAGGATCAAAATGCTACCTTTGAAATAGTTGCTCTTTCCTTCGCCGTACATATAGCTCAGAAGGAACACGCAGAGGATGACCGTCACCATATCCCACTGTGGAAACAGTAGAGTAAATTTCCAATGCGTAGGATCTTGGTCGCCAACCGGCTGAAGAGGGTAGGCTGCAGAGAAGAAAACTAACGCCGGGATCTGAAGAAGACAAACTTGTAAGGCGTACGCGGAACCAATTTCCATGGACAATGCAATATTTCCGTTCATGGCGAAAGAGATAGCATTCTTAATGAAACAGCAACGGTTAGCTCAAAAGATACGTATGTAACAAATGTGACGGGGGGTAGTAGTGCTTACCAAAAATTCGGTGGTATTGGGTACCAGAGCAAACAAAGTAATACCTAGGAATTTCGGATCGATTGCATAGTTGTCCAACACCACGTCCACTGTGTCGACTAGGATCTCGGCGACAATTGCATAAAGGATGGTGGAACCCATTAAAATAATCGAACTCTTCGTTCGACTCCAGTTCGGGGCATCGTGACCTCCGTGGGAACCCTGGTCATGTTCACCTGCCTCATCAGGTTCGGGAAACGTAGCAGATCGGATAGGTGTAGGACGCGTTGCCGGTGTACTGGCTCCGGCATTTGACGGTTGGGTAGGAATACGACGTGACCCTCGAGCGTCACGGGCTGCGATAGCGGCTGCTGTTGCAGCTACTTCGGTAACACTGCGGACTAGTTCGCTGTTTTCTGCATCGGAAAAGCCAGGAATATGAACATTCGAACGAATGTTGTCCGTGGCATCAGTATTTCCCCTTGGTGGAACCATATGTGGTGTTGGGATGCCTCCGTTTGTCGGAAATCCTTCTGACGGGTGACGCGAATTGCGATTCTCTTCTCCGCTCGACAAGCCGACATGTTTCAAGGACTGCACGAGGATACGCTTGTATAAGTTGCTGTCCCGAATATCTGCACTGGTCGATTCACCGATATTACGTGCTTCAGATAGACGAGCAGTATGCTGCTGCTGCTGTTGCTGTTGTTGTTGCTGAGCTTCATCTTGTTTCTTCTCGTCAATTTCGCTATTCCAAATGACAGCAGCATGGGTCCTAAGCGTGAACCATAAACCAATGACATATGACAAGAAAAGACATATGGCGGCGACATAGCAGAAGGGACGGACAGCTTCGACGTAAAATCGATCGTCAAGAGCTGGTACTTGTGAGTAGTAGCACCGACGGCAATCGCGTTCTTCGGACCCTATAAAATCAGTGCAGCTCTGGCATCGGAGTTCGTGTGTACCATATATTTGGTAGAAAAGGGTTGGCCCAAATGCAGCAACCGTGGCAAAGATTAACATGGTAGACGTAACACCCGCAGACCTGGCGTTGAACCTCTGAGTCTTGCGTTTGATAGCACCGAAGCACATAGATAACCCGGGCAAAAAGAGAATACCAACAAATATACTCCCAATGATGCTACCCTCGACTATCTGGCCTTTGCCATCCTTAAGCGCGACACAGTAGAGGAAGACTTCAACAATCGTCGAGAAGAAGGCATTGGTTGCAGCACCAAGGCCCATGGAGGACTGGGCGGATATAGACGCAACAGCCTGGCCTATAAAGTAAGCCAAAGGAATGATAGAGAACAAGCCGGCTACGAATAGAAAGCCCGGAGATGTCAGGAAATTCTCAAGCCCCAGGACAGAATACAATACGAGCCAATCGAAGATCACAAACATGACGACGGCCATGAGGTTGATAAAAAATATGTTCGTGCCGTCGACAGTGTACTTCCAATATTTATAGCCTACTGCTCGATATGTGCAAAGTAGGATGGAGGAGTGCGGGCCATCGGATGTCCTAGCGATGCTGCTATCGGACTCGAAAGACAAGGCTAACGGGTGTCTTCTAAGGTGATCGAAGAGGAGGTTTGTGACTTTACCCATCGGAATCCAAAAGACCAAGAACCAACAGATGGCTGAGACAATAAGCAGGGAAGGTGTGATGAGGCCCCAAAAGAAAACGAAGAAGATAACACGGCCAATATTCCATTGTCCGCGCCCAAATAACCGCCTCTTCAGGCGTCGTCCTGGGTCGCTCGAATGTTCCTGACGCCCTGAGCGGGGAAGGAGGCTATCTGTCTCGCTAGGGTCAGAGTCGATGCTTCTTCTTGATCGGCCTATGATAGAGCGGCTCCGTTCAGGGCCAAAGAACAATCGTCCGTATTCCAAGTCGCCGCTTTGCCATTGCTCGTACTCGCTGATACTTCGGCCCTCTCCCTCGTCTTCATCAAGATATGCTTCGTCCTGCTCGAGTCGCACAAATTTTCCAAAGGGATAAAAGAGATAGCCAGCTAAACCCCACAACACGCGGCCGTATTCTCCGCCGCTAGGAGCTGCCGCGAAGATAAAGCAAGCTATAGCGCCCAGAGCAGCAAACAGAGCCATCCACCAGCCGAAGGCTAATGTCCATATGAGATTGAAGAATAGCAACCATCTACTAACCCGGCCACCAGGAGAAGAGTGTATGTCACCCTCGGCAGTCTTTTGAACCGATCGGTTTTTCTTGTATAACGCAGGCTTCCAAATCCTGATACCAAAAGGATGTGTCTCGTTGATAGCCTGCTGGCGGTCCTTCAAGGTGAAGCTTTCAGCTTCGCTGATACCATCATCGTCATCATTGTGACCGGAATCAGAAGTGTCATCTTGCAGCGTGCCCTCCTCGTGTGGTTGTGATGCCAACAAGCGTCTCTCCTCCTCCTCCTCCTCTTCTAGTAACTCATCAATGTCCTCCTCTTCGGGACCGGCGCTGCGGATCGAATGTACTCGGGATAGGGCTGGCGGGGCCATGGTTCGTCGTCGTAAGGTAGAAGGCTGCCTTGTCTGCTCATTGTTATATGCCGGAAGGGGAGAGAAAGTCTGCTGTCGCTCAGCAGCATCGTTTTCCACCTCGTTGACGTCGTCGTCCGTAGAGAAGATTTCACCGCGATGAGGAGCTATGGCATTGGAAGAGGCTCTGCGGGGCATAGCAGGCTTTCTAGGCCGCTGCCGGCCATGGTCTGCGCCTATTAAAGGAGAACGGGGCTGTTGTGTGGCGGATCTCGAGTGTGCTCGCTCGTGAGCTGTGGATTCTCCTAGAAACGGAGTGCCACCGCTGATAGGCGGCGGTGGTGTTTGAAGAGTGCCTAGATCGGAATTTCGAGTAAGCTTAGCTTCTTTCTGATGGGGAATTGACGTGACAAGCGATCGATCCCCCGCTGGAGTCAGAATAGAGTTTAGGGCATAGGTTATGTGGACGGAAGGGTATTAGTTAAACAACGGCGACATACCATAGGACTGGTCTATTCTTCTTCGCACAGTCTCTGTGGATTGGTAACTTTCAGGGAGCGTATTATCTCTAGAATCGCGTCGAATAGATTGCTGTCGCGAATCTGTAGGCGAGGGTGGAGCAACAGAGCTACTATCATCCTGCGAATGGGAATCCATCGCGGATTAAAAAACAAAAAGAGAGAGAGAGTATTGGATATCTTCGCCGCCAACGAAGAGGGCTCTCTAGTTAAACTACCCTAGCTAGGGAGCATATGAAATAACTCGCAAGACTTTGGAGACAAAGGTTAAGTGAAGTTAGGGAGACGAGTATGCGATTCAGGTTTAATTTGACAAAAGACTAAAGACGAAGAAGGATGGAACCCGGATGATGTCTGTGGGGACCCGATGGGAATGTATTGTATGACTTTGGCTTGCAGGTCTAGCGTCATGTCCGTTACTGCGGCATGTCTTGCGAGTTGTGGGCGATTCCAGATTGCGGAGATACTACCTAGGTTAGGTAGGTTAGGAGTTTTAAGCTGAGGCAAAAGCAATAGAAGTAATAACAACAATAGGTGAGTGATAGGTAAGATGAAGCCGTCGAAAACCAGCTTACGACTGCTCACAATCCGTTGGTCAGACTTTGTGCCATACACAAAGCAAGGCTAATCAGGCTATCGAGATCGTAGGTACATAAAATGATAGCAGCACATGGTTCAAAGGTTAGTCCAGTCCTAAGTCGTGATCGTGCCTCGTGATTTATTTTTTATTTGCAGTGTGAGTGGACAATGTTCAAGTGTGTACCTTAACCCTTGTCATAAGCCGTTTCGTGCGGAAGGTCTTGTTGATTACTTTGCAGTTGACAAAGCTTGGCTTTGCTTGGAAGGCAGCTATGGCGTAAGAAAGTGTACTATGTATGTATTATTGCTTCCTAAAAACAAATTGGACAGATTAGGTACCTAAATAAATTGGTGCCCATTGGTTGCTGCTGCATTCTTTGATCCTATACCTAGGTAGGTACCTGGTACTGTATTTGTAATGTACATAGGTACCACATCCCGGCAGCCGCGCCTGTGGGACACATTCGAAAAATTACATAGAGGTACAACCGCTTTATCAACAGCCCACTAACTGCAAAATAGAGAGATGATAGGTAACTCTGTGAAATTCTCCAAAATATCTGTTCTCCTTACTGAGCTTTTAGCTAATTAACCAGGAAACAAAACAATAGCTGCTGTAATCGCATTGCTTTAAACTCAATGACTTGAATTGATCGTGGTCGTGGTCCAATCGACTTATTCCGCAAATACCTGCGGTGAAAAGTTCTGGAAGATCTTCGAAGTAGACCTACGTAATTGATGCATGTGAGCTTTCGCCAGGCTTCGAAAAAATCAATGCATATGCTGTAGTCGCAGTCGCAGTTGCACCTTGCTACACGATGCAGCTCTGTGCCGCATCCGAGTTTTACGTAATTACATTAAGTAGATAAGCAGAAGCAGCAGGTGCATAAAAAACGGTTGTGCAATGTGCAATCCACCTGCAGGTGCCCGCTGCGCTGAAAGTCGGCATTTTAGATTCGCCGTAGTTCCGGAACGCGTTGGCTGCCAACTGCCTGCGGCCCCGGCCCTCTGTCGTCGGATCTAAGCTTTTAACTGACCCCGGTCCAGGCCATCATCCATTGGCGCAAGCCTTAGCCTCAACAGGTCCCATATCCCAACTCTATCGCTAGGTAACTTACTTCATCGTCATCACCCATCCACATCCACAACCGCACCCACATCACATCACATTTTATTCTTTTCTCAGGTAGCAGCCAGCACCCATCGTTGTACATACATTTCGTAATATCCCCCTACAGCTTGAACCATCACACACACACACATCGATCTTCATTCAGTCCTCCTCGAGGAGCCCCCAACAACCATGGCGCTCGACAATTACTACCACAACAAGATCGAGGCGATGAAGCTCGAGATTCTTAAGGGCCAAGCTGTTCTCCGACGCCTCGAAGCCCAACGGAATGACTACAACTCCAGAGTGCGGCTGCTAAGGGAAGAGCTGGGTCTTCTGCAGCAGCCCGGGTCGTATGTCGGAGAGGTGGTTAAGGTGATGGGAACGAAGAAAGTGTTAGTGAAGGTGCACCCCGAAGGCAAATATGGTACGACACGAACAAGCTTTTGCGAGCCATGTGATGTGCTGTATAGGAGGTAGCTAACCCGTTCATAGTCGTCGACGTCTCCGACTCGGTAGACGTCGCAAAGCTCACGGTGGGCAAGCGAGTAACCCTGTTATCCGACTCGTACAAGCTCGAGAAGATCCTCCCGTCCTCCGTCGACCCCCTCGTCTCCCTCATGATGGTGGAGAAGGTGCCCGACAGCACCTACGATATGATCGGTGGTCTGGATCAACAGATCAAGGAAATCAAGGAAGTCATCGAGCTGGGGCTGAAGCACCCCGAACTCTTCGAGTCCCTCGGCATCGCCCAGCCAAAAGGTGTGCTTCTGTACGGACCTCCCGGTACGGGAAAGACCTTGCTGGCCCGAGCCGTCGCGCACCACACAGACTGCAAGTTCATCCGAGTCTCCGGCTCGGAACTCGTGCAGAAGTATATCGGTGAAGGTTCCCGTATGGTTCGCGAGCTGTTCGTCATGGCCCGAGAGCACGCCCCCTCGATCATATTCATGGACGAGATCGACTCGATCGGTTCGTCGCGAGTGGAGGGCTCCTCGGGCGGCGACTCGGAGGTGCAGCGGACCATGTTGGAGCTCCTCAACCAGCTGGACGGGTTCGAGCCGACCAAGAACATCAAAGTCATCATGGCGACGAACCGGCTCGACATCCTAGACCCCGCCCTGCTCCGCCCCGGCCGCATCGACCGAAAGATCGAGTTCCCCCCGCCGTCGGTCGAGGCCCGCGCCGACATCCTGCGCATCCACAGCCGAAAGATGAACCTGACGAGAGGCATCAACCTCACCAAGATCGCCGAGAAGATGAACGGGTGTTCCGGCGCCGAGCTGAAGGGCGTGTGTACGGAGGCCGGCATGTACGCCCTGCGCGAGCGGAGAGTCCACGTCACGCAGGAGGATTTCGAGCTGGCTACGGCCAAGATCCTGAACAAGCACGACGACAAGGAGGTTTCGCTCCAGAAATTCTGGAAATAAGCTTTGGGCAATGGGCAATGGGCACGGCGTGGCGTGGCGTGTTCTTACGCGATTTGTTCCATCTCATCGCAAATTTACCTTAGGTTAGGTACTTACTACGAACCTCTACTGCCTGCGGATGGAACCGAGAGATGAAGATGAGTAGGAAGATGGCCTTGGAACCAAAGTCAAAAAGATTACTATCTTTCTTTTTTCTTTTGGTAAAAGTGTACAATAAGTAATCATAGAGACGAAAGTAAGAAAGAAGAAATACGCGAAGCCCATTATAATATGTATGCACGTATCACGCAGGGCCTCTCTGGCTATTTCCCAGACGATATGATATGATATGGTATGCAAGGCAAGGCAAGGCAAGGCAAGGCGTCAGTTACACTTATTGCAGCAGCTACTAATTTCTTCGTACCTCTTGAGAGTGGTCTTTAGCTTATTCTATCTTGCCTTTTTTATGGGCAAATGTCTAGTTGCGTAAGTACCTAAGACAATAAAGAACGTAGAAAAATACGTAACTAGGAGTAGGTATTAAAAGCTCCAGAAGGCTGATCCCTATTTTAACTGTGACTCTTCGTGGTTGAGTTAGGTTAGATAAAGTCACTAGTAATAATATAACGAGAACTTCCTCCTGTAAGACGGTATTTCATGGGGACGGTTTACTTCGTATATGATTATATGGTATGATTAAATGGAATTATTAAAAGCCAACGATAAGAAGTAGGTAGGTATATATAATATAAGGCATAAAGCGGTTTCAACTGTAACGTGTATCGACATGTTTCTTCCTGTCTCTGCTCCGTATTAGCTAGTATGTACCTATCTATAGCTACCAAGACCAATATATACTCGCTATTATAGTTTTGCGGTAACCGTCCAGAAGAAGCAGGGCCATCGTCAAGGTCATCCACGACTACTAACAACAACCATCTTATCTTCCCCCATCCCCGTTCTTATTTATTATACATATCCAACCCCGTCGAACGTGGCTGTTCTCGATAGAAGGACTCTTATAAGCCCATCCATCCATATCTGCCTCTTTTAATTTTCTTGCTTGCTTGCTTGCTTATTTTAGGTAGGTTATTTTCTTTCCTGGTCCCTGCTCTCTACGTCCCTCGCTTTGTGCAATGCTTTCACCTCGCTAGAAGGAAAATAATAATAATGATAATAAAATTCGATAATGCCATGCCGTAGACCTTGAAACGCCCATAGAAGCAAGCACTAAATCCTCCTTGAACTCCGTGTACTCCTTGCCTAAGACTAGATCGTCTAGCCGATGGTATGTACCCTCCGACCGTATTAGAATGCCGTATCGATGCAAATGCGAACGTATGTAGTGTTTCATGGGCCGAGCCTTATTTCCTTTCGATTTTGTAAATTTTTGTCGAGACGTATTTTTTTGGTACTGTTTTTCCTTCTCTTCATCTTCGCACATTTATAGTTTCACTCCGTGGGCGACCCCTGCCACCGGCCGTACTGTTGCTCTTCTCGTGAACTCTCCAGACCCACTCTACCACCGTCTCATAGCAGAGAACGAACTGTCGTAGGCTTTGGACCATGCTCAGTCGTTGCCTTCTGAAATCTTCCACGGTAGCTTCTATCAGATCGAGATTTGAATCCTCGAGCCAACCAGTTTCTAACCCCTTCGTATCATCTTTGATCGGTCTGGGCCTATAGCCGTTGGTAGTGCTAGTCCGGCGACGGATAGGTGATCCTTCATTCATGCTCACGTCTCCATCTTCATCTACCCGACTAGCCGCAACTTGACGCTGCCGCTTTAACATGTCTATGACAGTATCAACAGTACAGAAGGTCCCAGTGCGACCACATCCGGCAGAGCAGTGCACAAGCATCGGCCTAGCATTAGCAGACTCGGGTTCGTCAGTCCAATTAATTGCCGCCGAAGGCTCAGCAGGGGCTGACGCGGCAATAGAGCTCGCATCCACAGGCAGCGAAGCACGCTGCATGATATTGGCCAGTTCAACGAGAGCTAGTAGGTGCGACGGTTGCGCTGGTGCACCGAAATCGGGCCACAGGAGATATTGAAGCTGGGTAATTTCGCGTATAGGAGAAAACGGATGAGCAGCGTGCGACAATGCAAATTTCCGGACAATAACGTAAGGGGTCTCGGACTGTGCCTGAGGCTGTTGCGTGTTCTGTGCGGACTCGAGCGTTGTCGTGGTAGCGGCGCGTCGTCGTCCGTGGTCCACTGTGGTGTTTGCAGGCGTAGGCCCGGGATTTGACCGATATTTATCTATATCGAGCGACACCTTCTTCTCGGAGATAGACTTGAGCTTGATAGGTCCAAATTCCTTGTCATGCCAATATGGATGACACTTTAGCTGACCCCCTTCAGATTCTGCGGTTAACATGACAATGACACGAACGTCTTGGTCCCATATCACGGACCAGAAATCCTATGGGGTAAATAGTTAGTTATGAACGACATTTATTAGCCTTAAAAGAAGTAAACTTACATCGAAGGTGGCCGGCAAAGGGCCCTGGGAGGCTATATAACGCTTATGGCTACGCGAGGCTTGAACATGGCTGGCATTGATATAATCGCAAGCACCTTGGGCCCGATTAGGCAAACGGACACGAGCATGCTCAAAAGGAAGGATATCCTTATACCGGTTTTTAACACCCTGCTCTACTCCTGAAAGGCAGACACGTCCGGAAGTTTGGCTTGGAGGCGCAGACGTATTGAACGACGCGTAGGCTTCTTTCATACGTGATTGTTCGCTGCGCTCGATTTTCAAAAACCTTTCAGATGCTTTCTTACCATGATCAGATGATCGGGTTACGTCTTGGAGCCAAGGGGGTAGTGTATTCGAATCTAAATTAGACGGCACAGAGATATCCATCTGCCCAACTCCGTCTGCTAGGTCCATGTTTTGCCGGATATTGCTAAAGAACGGGTTGGGGTTATTAGCATTAGATGGAAGCGCTACACCACCGATCACAGGGGCAAAGCTTGGTCGTCCACCATTCGGTAAGGTAATTGCGGTTCCCGGTCTTTCTGAAGCTGACTGATGATCGATGAACGAAGGATATTCGGCAGAAAAGGCATGGAACCCTCCCCTTAGAAGATATGAATTCCCAGAGAAACCTTCAGTCGTAAACTTCTTGAACATATTCATAGCTGAGGTTGCATCCCGTTTTTCTGTCGAGGAGGCATCGTATACTATGAGATACTTGGCATTTAACCATTGCGCAAATTTCTGTTGATCTTCTTCGGTCTGGAGAGTCTGCTGTAGCTTCTGCAAATTGAATGTAGCACGCTTCAACAGAGTCGTCGGAATACAAAGATTCAATGCGCCGCGGATACGCGATTGGGCATAATGGGAAGATACACGAACATCCAGCAGAAGAAACTCGTTCTCGGGTACATTTGAAAGCAGTTCTTTTAGCTGCCTTGGTAGAATAAGTCCGGGTCCATTTTCAAGTGTCGGCGGCAGCGTCTCAGCACGAGCTTTCGCGGGCTCTATCGTCCGCTCTAGCTTCTCATTAGAAATAGACAACGATAGTCGCGGGTGCCGATCTTCCATTTTGGACAATGCCGCCCTTCGTAAGGGCTCAAAAGGAGAGTCGGCACGAGCCGGCGACTCGAACCGAGGCATATTACTAAATGAGGGAAGATTCAGCGACACATCTGAATTTCTCTTCGAATCCGATGATACATACGCAGAGTCATGTAGACTATCCGTATCAACATCCATTCGAACACCTGCGCCATCGACAGCCTTGCCGTGAAGAGACCTAGTACTGGATAAATCCGAGGCGGTATCGCTATAATTGGTCGACAAACGCGGCGGCCTGGGTCTTACGAACATGGGCGACGGGGCTGGCGCAAAGTGGGCGCTACCTAGATTGAAGCCCTTGGCGCGGTTCGCATCGACTTGGCGTCTAAAAGCCTCGAATTCCGGGTTGGCATCAAGGGGAAGTTGTTTCGGTATTGCGGTACCAAACGACTTAATCGACGAGCTCGTCGGACTCCAGTGATCGGGAGGAGCGGCGGACGAGTTAACAACGTCAGCAGTCGAATGGTCAACGTTGAGACCGAAATAATTGGGACTAGGCGGCCGGACGTGGACATCTGTAACGATAGGGGGGAATTTTGTACTGGGAGGATAAGGTTGACCGACGGAATGAGGTATGCGAGGTGATGCCAGGGGGGTCGTAGATTTATTATTGGCGCGGAAAGATTGCATATTGGCTTGAGAAAGGCGGGGGTGATGAGAGTGAGACGATGTAAGAGCCGGTCTCGTAGATGTCTTCATGGTGTAATGGTGAGTGGTTGCGGCGCTGCTAAGGCCGGCTGCTAAACGGTCGTTGCTTTTCGTCGAGTCTGGAGCCATCTTCATTTTCATCTTACGTATGACGTCGTGTCTCTGAGCGTTCCAGCCTCTTCGTCTTCTTCCCATTTCAGTATTCGCCTGCCTTATAATTTGGGCATGGCGAGCGACAGCCTGTTTAAAGATGTATATACGTTCTTTTTCTTTTTCCTTTCTTCTTTTTTCTAATAAAAAAAGAGGCACTAGGATAATAATCTAGTTTTAGTGGCACGTATAATTCCTGCTTCCTCCTTACGTCGTGGTTGAGGCGTGGGAAAAACAAGCCGCCTCAAGAGTGAGACAGGCAAAGAAAATGTTCGAATATGGTGGTAACAGCCTCAAACGTAAAGGCGTATTACTCATAAAAAAATGATACGAGGTGACGGAGACAGAATAGAGTCCTGCTCTTTCGACTGTGACGATGATAATAGAAACACTTTTGAAAAAAAGATGGTGGGTGGGGGAGGAGACGGTTAGAAAAAGGGTCCTTTCTTGCCGCTCTTTCAGGCTTTGGGACCTCTTTTGCTTTTTTAATGTGTGGCCCGGTCAATAACTGTGGTGGTGTGCGTGTGTGCAGTGTGTGTAGGAGAGTTGTGTGTGTGGAATGGGACAATAAGGCCTGGACCACGGCGATCTCTACTTGGACGTGCTAGGTAGACGCAACTTTGGTTGCACGGGAAATAGAAGGAAAGGCTTTGCCCTGGCTTGATAGATGTGTACACACAGATGGGGGCGCTCTCGGGTTGCCTGACTGGAGCAAGGCGACTGACCTGGTTGTCTCGTGCAGGTACTTAAGACTTTTAAAAGAACCAAGGTACCTATTGTACAGCAGATAAAACTGGTAAAACTGGTAGGACTGTAGATTTCGGGGGGGGGGGGGGGGTCTGTTGAGGGTCGACACTACGGGAGTTTCTGGATCCTATTAGGGCAAGAGAATATGTCGCCTGAGGTAATGATCTGCGATTCAATGGCGCTACTTTACGACGGCGGCAAGGGTCGAAGGGGTGGGAGACACAGCGCCTTGAAAGCGTGGAGACGGACGATGTACTATGATCCATAAGTTACTTGTTCCTATTCTTCTACTTTTTTTTCTTTCTTACTTTAAAGCCTGTTCCCACTCTTATACCATGCTAAACAAATAGCTCGGACGAGAACAGGATGGTGACCCCATTGAGATGGAAAATTGTACTTTAAATTGTTACGCATGAATGTTTTCTATAGGTAAGATAATAATAATGAATATGTACTATGAGGTAGATGTTAGTTACCTACTATGTAGGGAGGCACTCTCACTCACATTATAGATTCGGTTGGCTACGTAATGTAAGATTGGAGAAAAAGTGATTGAAATGCAAAGAATAAAGGGTTCCCGCCTTGATGACGAAATGGTCAAAAGTTTGGAGGTGGAAAGAATAAGCAGAAGGACCCTTAAATTGACGGCTCGGTGAAACCTTTTTTTTTTTTTTTTTTCCTTTTTGGTGTGGTACTTACAACTTACTAGCTTAAAAGAAAGGTACATATACATAGGTACCTAACATAATATTTCAACCTATCCATATATATTCATATAGATAAGAGAGAGCTTGTTTTCTTTTTTTCTTTTAATAAGTCCACCTAATTAATCATTTCATCATCCTTTAAGTAATTTTCTTAAAATACTTGCACATGCCACTCGCCATCCGTAATATGTAGCTTAAGAAACTTTCGGTTTGTAATGGTTTTATCAGACTCTCATCTCGCATCTGATGTTTGCAAGGTTCGTGGGTTCAACCATGCTTAAGGCAGATTTGGTAGGTCCATGTATGTGAACATATACATCCGAAATAGTTTCGTACAATTAGGTACACAAAAATAGACCATAAGGTGGGACAGGACTTGCGAGGTACTAAAAAAGTACGTAATTTACACATGTGTACGTACCGTAGTGTATGCACCATATCATGGATGTATGCACATTGACGCGGACCCGAGATGGTGCATCATAAAGACGTCATAGTCAGTGCCTTAGGTAGGTAAGGTAGGTACTTGAAGACAACATACAGGTATAGTAGTAAAGCAAGCATGCGCACAGGCCACGTGCGACCCCCTTTTTTGGAAATAATGACATGCCAGCCGCTAGTCCTTGTATGGATAAGTGGCAGACAAGTTGCAGAACAAGCTGCTGCTTGTCTGTTCTCTCGTCTGTTCTGGACCCTTTTCCCCTCATCCAGAATCGACAAAGATCATCCCACTCTACTCCATACCACCGCGAAAATCCCATTTGGTACATACTATGGTACCAGGCCAAAGTAAAACCACCCTTTGAAGTACCGCACAAAAAGGCTCTATAAGCCACTACACCACATTAAGACTCGTATGACCGGGGGTTTCAAAAGATACATTCAAGACTTAAAAAGAATAAGAAATCCTACCTCCACCGTTTATATACCTTTTATAAATGAAATATCTATTAAATTAATCTTTAAATAAGCAAAAATATAATACTCTTATCAGATTTTACTTAATGTGTTCAGATATTGAGATATCTAATGTACTAATATTGATACGTTAAAAGTTATTGCATAGGCCACATTATAGCGTGTTACCTTCGACAGGGGTTTTACTTACCCATGATACCATAGTAGTGCTAGAGTGGTAAATGTCCTTAGTCGAGTTTTTTTAATTGCTCGAAAATTCTGGACCGGTCACTCGGTGCTCAATCTGGTTTTCGAGTCCATTAGCCGGCCAAGGTACTATGCGTCCGCGTCCTCCGTCGCACCTCAGACGCGGTGAGGCTGAGATTAGTATTTTGATGGTTTCGAGTTTCTCTAGGGGTTATCCTAGCAGTTCCTAGTATTCGGATAATCAAACATGCGATTCGGCATATCCATATCATCCAACATACCAACTCGAGTACGAACTTGGATTTTTTTTTTCCATTTCTCAGAGCAATCCTCGCCGAAATCAGGAAATATGTTTAGTTTATCGGCCATGGTTTGATAAATCCATACCTCCTACATGTTACAGTCATCACTATGCGTGCTAGCCCTTCACGGAGTTAGCCCCTGGCAGGATCCACGCGACCTTATGTACGATACACTACCTCTTACCTGTAGTGTATGTAGGGGCAAGAGGTATTGCCTACCTACATACCTGCCTGAGTTTGCCAGATTACCAAATCAATAGTTGACGACCATTTACTTAAAGATCATCGTGCTCAGTGCTGCCCAAATCCGTGGGTCTAGCTGACTAGCGATACCGAATATAGAACATAACAATACCTATTCGATAGCTGCTTTCACGGGTTCACACATCCACTACCTCTAAAGAATCATCAAGAGAGGCCATACCTTTAAGGTGGGAGGGTTACGATAACCAACGCTAAAAATGACAGAAGATCGTCTAGCTGCCAGCATAGGGCGCATTAGCTGGGTTACAAGGCCAACCCTATAGACTACAGGCTACAGGTGTTTTTGAACCGAGCCGCTTTTTTTCCTCTTCTCTTCGTTCCCGCGTCAAAGTCGGCAATGCTATAATGACATGTGTACATGTGTCTAAATTTGACAACTCAGTCCACAAGTCTCCTGATCTTGTCATCCAGTGGTGATAGGCACACGACGTCTACTATGTACTTTCTTCAACCGTCGCGTCGCACGCTAAAATGGCAGAGGGGGTCGTTTTTTTTTTTAGTGTATAGAAGTTTCGTCCCTTGGCGTCTCTTTATAACTCCTCTTATCACACCATTTCTACGTCATTATGCTTCTCCGTATGTTGTACTGCCGAGTTCCCACGAGGTCCAGGTCGTCTGCTCGGATGACTGTTATATTACTTGTGAAATTGCTCGTTATTTATTCGTTTGAAACAATTCTTTTCTTCCGTCAAGCTTCTACAAAATAAAATACCTCTCTACCATAGCTTTTGGACTCAATGAAGTTGCACAAGGGTGGGACATAAAATGTCGCGATACACAGTATTTACTGTATCTGGGCAAGCCAAGGTAGATCCGTACATAGTATACGTGCCCTGGTGCCGTGGAATGCAGATCAGCATTGCACCACCTCTCCGCATCAGAATTAGACATGCACCTCGAGGGTCTGGAACCTGGAGAAACAAAGGGGAGAATGTATCAGGACGAATAGCATCAAGGCCACAAGAAACCTGCCTGCCTGTTTCAGCGCTTTCTGGCTGATATCTCAGATATCTCAGTGCTCCAAATCCGACTTTGGCGGCCGATCCCAAGCTCTAGACATGGGGGTAGTGCGGCATCCCAGCGGCATCCCATATTGCGTTATCAATCCCGTTCCGCTTACTTCGATTTCTCACCGCTGTTGTACGGTGTACATACAATCCTGGAGGATCGTCGAAAATAAATCGCCATGTACGAAGTACAATACATAGCAATACGTACATATTTATCAGTGGAGGATTTTCTCCGTCCTACTACACTACCTCTATAGTGTACTAAGTACATGAGCTATACTATGGTAAGAGATATATATACTACGGTATGAGCTATATGTATCCGACCAAGCACTAGGTATTGTACCTACCGACGCCGATCAGATCATCAATGTTCCGCAGGGCTTCATTTTAGCTATTTAGTACCTCGCATTTATTACATTCATTAGGACGCGAGCCCTTCTCTCTTAGGCCCCGGGCCTAACAATAGCCGCGCCACGTGAACTCAGTTAACTTTATTAGGACTTCGAAGACGGACGTCGTGTTGGAGCATACCACCGCCAATAGCACCGCAATAGTGAAGAGACGGAGTCATACTGGCAGGTGAACGAGTCCCCCCCAATGGCTATTTATCCGTAAGCCCCGGCCGAGAGCCTACGGGCCAAGACAACCGCACCGCACCAATAAGCTATTCACCCGCTTTGAGAAAGAATCTAGACCAGCGAACGATAAGCCAGTGGCAGGCCGGCATTGCGTAAGTACCTATATAGCAGACAGGCCGGTGATGCAATGGCATAAGCACGGTGTGCGAAAACCGAATTATCTATGAGTAGCCTATTCGCTTATACCTGTTTCCTGCTATGTCATGTGTCTGCGGCATTCTACGTATCAGAGGTGCCTTAGGGAGGAGGCAAAAATCCAACAATTATTACTTTTTTTTTTCGTCTTCTATGGAAATCAAATAATTTGATTCACGAGAATCGTTTCCCATCAGCAACAAATAGAAAAAAAGAATAAAAAATAAAAAGAGATAAGAACTGCGAGTCTCAGTTTACAAAGTGTATTGTTGTCTAGGTAGGAAAGTTTTGACCTTTGTGTTTCCCAGGCTTTTCCCAGGGTCCACCCAGAAACAGAAACAGAAACAGAAAAAAAAAGCCGTACAACAAGGTATCGAATTTATTGAGAAATCCTATCGTGGAAAAAGCAATCCCCATCTGCGATGCTTGTCCCAAATGTTGTTAAACCTGCCTTACCTTAAGTAGGAGGTAGGTACCTATCCCCTATCACCGCCCCTACATACATAGGTAGGTAGGTTAGGTACCTACATACAATACAATACAAAGTAGTCCCCGGAATCCGACGTAAGGGATCATGGCACTCGCTCAAACCCCGTCTCCGCGCATACATACCTTAGTTAGGCACGGGTTACTGTCGGGGAATCAGTGGGGGCTGAGCGCCTTTCGATGGTTGGATGGTATTGTATGGATCTTTGGTGACCTCCGCCCGCCGGCCCCCGCCTCTTTCCCCCTTGCCTTTATATCGAGAATGATAACTCCTTACGCCTACCTAGCTGAGTAGGATGTTCGCGCCACGCGTATATTTCTCGGTCTTTTAGTCCTCCTCGATGCCTGTCCGGAATACTTATAGACCTAGGTCGATGAAGAAGATAACTACATGAAATACCTAAGCAGGCAGGCAGGTACTTGACCTCCAATCTCGCTTCTTCGTCCTGAATCGACTCGTGTGATTGCATGGGAAGTTCTTATACGCTGGCGATAACAGCGCAACACCTCGCACCGTCAGTCTTCAAATTTCGTGGAAGATATGAAAAGCTGGCTAAAACGCCAGTAGGCAGTCAGATATTTCCTACGCTACCTATGGATAATAACAGCTCTTTTTCTAAACTATGGGGAAATAGTACTCGCTTACAGCAGTTCTATAGCGTGAAACTATAGCCCGCGTCAAGAGTCGCGGCAGTCTCGTCACGACATGGCATGACATGACATCTTGCTACGACAATGACAGGCTGCTTGGTTCTAGCGAAAGTATAAGTTGAATTAAACTCCTCGTGATTACTTACCTAGATTGTGTAAGAAGTGGCGTGTTATCTTTCCGCATGCCCACCTCCTACTATAGACTATAAATGTCATGCGGCTCTCTGTGAAACCTGATCCATAAAGAAAGACACACTTTAGCCCACGAATATAATACCCCAGATAACGTTTGGCTTGGAGAACGTAGGTAGTGGTCATGAAGTACCATGTTGCAAGAAACATATCATAAGTAGGGCTGATAACGCCACGAGAGATCCGTATTAGCCACTCGAGGAGAACCTGGGCAGGACAATTCCTACGTAGAGCTCTTCTACTGCCTTGACTCTATACTTGGAACTAAATAGCAGAATAGATACTGGCCTTGAACCAACTGCATCCCGTATCTACGTCCAAGGAGAACCGGGCCCTCGAGAGATACGATAAAGTAACCAGAGTAGTTATCTTAGATAAGTTTACCTCAGGTCTTAGATGTGATGAATCTGTTTTCAACGCATTGAATAATAGTCTCTCTTATATCGATTAATAGGTATGCTCATAGCTAGAATAAAGCTTTCGGTGAGATCACACATAAACTCAGTCTTGTGTGACGATGAATAGGTAGACATCAAATATGTCTTCACAAGGTACCTAAGCAAAGCCTCGTGACAAATCTCCGCCCCTAAGATATTCCGGAACCACGCCGTTTGCCTGACCGTAGCCGACTAAACACCTAACCATGCTTGAAAGCAATATGCACTGTAGGGTATCGATACAACTCCTATTACTTGGTCCCATGCCATCATTGCCCTTCCATATCATGCAACCATATATTTGTCCTTACCATAGGGCGTCTCCATCAAAACTGTCTCTGCTTCCCGATTCTTGTCTCGCCTTCTGAAGCTCGACATTTACGTCCCAAGCGTTGAGAAAATCATCCAAGTTCTCCATGACGTCCGCAACGTGATCTATGCCCTGGCTCTCTTTTCGCCACGGTGATTGCTTTATATCAGCCACATCTTCAACTATATCTTCACCATCTTTATCCTGGGTTTCAACGAGACCTTCACGCCCACAGGCCGCATAAGCATCCGCCCCTCGGAAAGCCTCTGCCATTGCGCCAATATGCGGGCTTGCAGGCTTTTGCTGCGAGGGGCTCGGGAGTAGACGCGGCTGCAGTCGAAGTCGGACATTCCTGCTACTGGCACGTAGCTTCATGGCATCAAAGTGTCCCTGAAATTGGTTGTCGACATCCTCATCCCCAGCATTGACGAGTATCCGTGGTGGAGGTGATGCGGCTCTTGTGGTGCTGAATACCGGTGAAGTGTCCATGTTGTCTTCGTTTGGTAACGGGGCGAATGACACTCGTCGCTGGCCCCTTGAGATATCCCGCGGGTTTGAATACGCGGCATTTGATAAGATTCCGACGGTACGACCGGTGGATGGGTGTGTAGAGTTCTTTCGTCGACGTTTCGGAGATGGCGTATTGAATAAAGAGAATGGCTTGATTGAACTTTCGAGATCAGGGGTACGCACGTGAGGTAAGGTCCCTCGCGGAGGTGTAGTAGGAGTATTCACTCTATGTTCCGAGAGCCGATTATCTGGTTCCTGAGCTAACATGCGAGGTTGAGGGTGTGGAAACAGTGGATTATTATCAAAACTTGGTGGTGTAGGCGAGGCAGGCGGGCGTTCAGAAGGAGTCATCATGTCTATATCTGTTGTAGGCCAGTGATTTTGACACTCCGCAGATGTCACTGTCTGCTGTAGTATGTTTGTCGGTATGTTCTCTCCAACCATCCTAGAATACAAATCTCGCCTATCTGGTTTCGCGGGGTCCAAGATCTCCTTAGCCCAGGGGTTCTGCTGTAATGGGTTGGCCCAAGATACTTCATGGTCCTTGGTTTGAGAGCCTGGCAACACCGTCTGGTATGGATGATGACGGTATGAGGGCCCACTTTCAACGGGCTCCAGCTTAATGTGCTTGACTGTTAGGTCTACGGATGAAGGACGATCTAACATAGCGGTCTCGGCCGGAGTGTCTTTCTCGAGAGCCTCTTCAACGTTGGCAATTGGGATATTCGGCTTATCGTCACCAATGCTCCATTCCAATTGTGGTAGTGGTACTGTGACTGGGTCGGATTCGCTATCCGATTCTGTTCTTCGTGTTATTCCTACTAAATTCCCTGTTGGGTCGTGTGCTTCTGCCCTGGCATCTGCGTTGTTAGATACGTGGTTGAGTGTAAGCAAATCAGTGGTCTCGATTGGTGTGGCCCGATTAAAATTTATTGGATCATTGGTTAAGGTAGACCCCTCATCTATCAATAATGCAAAATCGGTCGGATGGGTTTTGAAGACCGCAGGGCTTTCGAGGCTGTCGACGCTTCTTTTCCTTTCTGCATCAAATACTATATGTGATACGTGCGAGGTGTGAATTACCACGTCTGGGACGTTGTATTCTGTGGCCGTATTCTCTGGGTGAAGAGCGTTGGCAGTCTCCGCCAGGATTGACATGCCAGTTGCGGAGGTTCGCAGTAGACGGAGATTCTCGTCAACCATTTTTGGATCATCATAAAGCCCAGGCTCTGTTGAGACTACATAACCAATGGTTTCGTTGCACTTATGTGGTTCTTCAACATCACCGTTGATGGTTTGGTCCCTGAGAATTTCGTCTTTTAGTGCTGACGATGCGATCTGGCATTGATATTTTTGAATGTCGTCGTCATCTTCCTCACGGCTATACATTGACTCTAGTAAATGCACAGACGCTTGAGCTATAGCTATCGGTCCCATGCTAACACAATGGTACGACACAGTAGCCTGTGGTAGGGGGGATAGATTTCTGGGAATGGTAACAGCCGCCACATCTTCGTCTTTCGGAGTTTCGGTTGTTCCAGTCTGAGTCAGCTTAGAATGAATACTCGCGACTGAGACCGGACCAGCTATGGGAGTCGACTCCTTTGGGGGCCGTGCTCGATAGTGAAAACTTTGGTCTACGTAACTCTCGAAAGTAGAATCCTCTTCTGCTCCTTCGCGTATTGAAGTGTCTTGCTTGCTTAGATTCACAGGGGACTCGTTTGAACGAGTTGTTCTTTCAGGATCCGAAATGGACCCGCATTCCTTGGCTTTCATGAGTGAGCAGTCGTGCGTAGTAAAGGCAATCTTTGTGCCAGTAGGCTGCACTATTATGTCCTTGGCACTTAGTTGAGCACCACTAGAGAAATTGCCCCCTAGCGGCGTCGTCTCGCCTTGCGTAGTAACCTCAATCTCTCTTCCGCGCTTTAGTTCTGGACACTTTCGGCTAATCGTAGATGATGGAGTAGCCAATTCAAAGCTGTGGTTAGCCTTCAACTTTGAGAAACCCGTAGTTTCAGGACAGTGTATGCTTAGAGGAACTGAGGTACTTCGGATCGGTGCCTGCGTCGATAATAGGGGTGTGGGCGTAAATTTTGTGTTGGTGTTTTGTGAACTGCTCAGCTTCTTTCGTTTTGATGTCTTCCTTAACCATTCTTGCCCAATAGGTCGTTTCTTTCTAGGCTCGCCGTTGTCGTCACAGACTACTTGATTAGGTGCCCAAAACTCATCTCTCTCTAATATAGTATTTCTTGATACCTCCTTCGTCCACGCCTGTATCCGACTCTGCTTCTCGGTCTCCAACGAATGGCCGGAGAACTGTAACTCGCGGTTACTTTCGGGGCTAGGTAAATGACAACGCATAGAACTATCAGTGCCGGATGTGGTATTATATTTCTGCTCAAAGCGCTGAGAACTCTTAAGGAGACGATCCTTGAACGATGGGGTAGAGTTGGCCGTATATTTGGATTTGACAACGGATTTCTTGACTGCAGGTTGCTTCGGGAGCCATGGGTTCTTCCAGCCGGAAGCTTCGTCGAAGGGACCATGTAGAGATGCGGACATAATTCGAACAGGCTTTCCCTGTAAGTATCGTAGTGCTTGCGCCTCATACCTTAACCTCTTGGCGATTTTTTCGGCATCGTCGAGTTCTTCATCTGAGCCTAGGCAGATAATGTCGTCAGGGTCCGACGGCGGTGGTGCAGCACAATAAATCGGTTCGTTTCCGAGGCGAGTTCGTCTCCACGATTCGACACCAGTGATATCCCTATCCATCGTTTCAATACCAAATACCACAGTTTGTTAATCTCACATCATGCTTCGAATCGGAAGTAGGACTAGTAGAGAAATTTCAATTCAAAGTTTGGTTGGGGAGGAGGGGGAAGGGAATGAGAAAATCGAAGGTTGATTAGAAAGTTGAAGGCGGGGCTCAGTTTTTAGACACTGAACAAGTCGAATAAAAAAAAAGGGTTGACTTAGGTACATGTATTTTGTTACAACTCACTGCCCGTTCGCTACCTTAGGTATGTATTTAGGTAGGTATGTGCCTGTGTATGAGCCTGTGTGCTTAACTTTACTAAGAGGTGCGTTAGGTAATACTACCTAAACTTTATTTAGTCGGGAATTTAGGGAATTGCAAAAGACGCGACTGAGCGCGTTAATTGAAATTAGGTAATTCAGTAATGTGGCTAAACACCTACGGCTAGACCGATACGGATTAGTAGATATGGCTGAATAAATTGATCTGCGTTGCTACAGAAACCGGTGAATTTTTAAGGCTAACAAGGAACTACAGGGGGGGCCAGTTGTCCGTCAGGCGCTTGGACCAACAAACAGCAAACGGTAAAATCGGGTATGGAACATTGAATGTATGTAAACCGTAAACCGTATACCGGTACGGAATACACCGCCTGCACAACACGCCCACCACCTATTACGTAGGTTGCTATCTAGCTATCTAGAGAACCTAACCCTCGCGCCTTACGATTTGTAGGTAAACTTAGGTACGGTACTGACTTGGAGAGTTACTTTTTTTTATGAATGACTCTGGTTGATGTCGCGATAACTCAACTCACTTTGTTATCCACTCATATTTTATCAAATTTCTCCAATTCAGACGCGACTACGGAAAACTGTTACACGCATGAACTGTCAACACAACACAACACATATCACCACTTATACACCCCACAAAACCACAAAACCACAAAACCACAAAACATACCAAACATACCTAACGTACCTGATAACGCGATTACTTATTCAAGCTATAGCACTACACAGTTTTAGGTACCGAGCGACTATTATTCGAAGAAGGCTTCAAAACATCATCGGAACTCCAATATAACTTACTACTTCATGGACCATCGACAGTGTTGCTGATCGCTACTCGTCGCGTTTCAATACCCTGAGAAACCCTGACAAAACTGCCCGCCATGGCTCAGGCCTGGCTCGACTCGCTTTCCGAGGACTGGGTATCTCAACCTAGGTCCGATACTTCGCAAGCGCACGTACCTAGTTTCATGAGCCCTAAAAGCCCTAATGCCAACACGAGTCGCAGAAGCTTGAACTCACCAGCTAGTCGCATACCGAGATTCAACGCAGGGAATGCCACAGGGAGGAAATCGCAACAATCGACCCACAACAGTAGCGCTATTAATATACTGAGTGAACGAAGCATAAACGATAGTAACATCCGAGGAGCGCAACGTGGTCCTCCAAAGCCTCCGCAAGCAGCCGGCGCCTCTCAACGGGGACGTTATCTTCGTCGTTCGACATCTGCTTCTAGTGCCGCGTCTGTCGTTCATAATACCGTTCAGCATAACAAATCCCAAAGTTCTTCGCCGTCTAAAAATAGGGATAGCGTACCGGAATGGAGAAGAAGATTGGTTTATGGGGAATTGAATTATGGGGAGTCCAAGGATCTTTTTAGTTCCGCCGGGACAGGATTAGAAAATATCTTTCGACCACCCGTGGCCCAGGAATCCACGGGGGACGAGTCCGCCGGGAATGAAGATGACACGGCCCCGGAGTCAACCTTACCCTCGAGCCCTCCACCCTATTCGAGGCAACAAACTTGCGACGAAGAAGAAAGCTTCGAACAGTCCGCTGACGAATCTTTGCTTCGGCAACCTCGTCCGAACCGGAAGCAGATAAAATTCCGAATGACGGAAGAGATGGTTGACGAACCAAGTAAAGAAGATGTAACGTTTAACGAGCATCATAATGACCAAGAGGAAGGGAATGAACTTAAAGTGCAATATAACAACAACTCTTATAATTTTCTAGGTGACGTTGGCCTATCACGTCAGGCCAGCGGGCAAAGCGTGATGAGAAATGAGGACTTAAGCCCAATTTTACTATCACGCCACGACTCTGGAGACGGCCAAGTGAACTTTGCTCCCGTTGAGCTTCCGGCAGAACAGCTACGTAAGCGCCTCGACAACCTTAGGAGAAACCAAATGTTGTTAGACTTCGAACCTGATGGCCATTGGGAACAAGGACCAACTTATGCTGGCGACGATACTCAGAAAATTGACACAACTGAAGACTTTATCAAAAATGGAGGTTTCCTAAATGTCCAGCGAGGTGGGCGTTCGACAGACGGATCTTTTCGTCAACGCCCCCTTAGTCCCCCGCTGAACCTTGATACATCGGAAATGCTCCCAGAATCGTCACTTCAGGCCAGCACACCGAAACAGTTTCCAACTGTTAGGATAGAGCGTGTTGCATCGGAAGAGAGGAGAGAAGAATCAAAATTTGCTCTCAGTCCCGGCTTACCCCCTGCGCCGTATCCAAGCCCCGAGAGACGATCCCAACAGTCTTCAGGTCAGAATGGTAGCCCCCTGAAATTATTTGGTCCGTATGATACCTTCACCAACCAGACCCTTCTCCGACGTATAAGCCAGTTTGAAGATCAAATGATAGAACCTATCTCACGCACAATGGCGAGCCAAAGTAATACGCCGCCGACGCAAGAACCCTCTTCAAAACTTAACGGAAGTAAAGGGGTTGCAACCGGGTCTGGTTCAAAAGGGGCTCCACAGGCAAGCTTTGACCTTCCCGAAAATCTGGACATTAGCTATTTCGGAGCTGGGGAACTAGATGGTTACGAGTTCACTGAAGACATCACTCAGAATTCTATGGATTACTCCCAGTTGACGAACAAAGAGAATGTGGCACCTGCGGACGACTCGCTTCCGCCAAGTCAATTTCTCAAGTTTCAATTTCCCCAAGACTTATCCTTTGGTGGAAGGTCTCTTGCCGTACAACGCCGGCGGAATAAGTTGTTTAGTAGTTCATTTACTCCTCGGCGCAGCATCACTATGGCTAGAGCGGCCACTAATTTAAAGCCGCAGAGCTCTTCATATCCGCCTGGCCCCCTTGGTAGTATCCAGGCAACGCCACAGAGAGATATCTTAGATGGGAAGAGGCCGCGAACTTCGCCGTCCAAAGATCCCACTCCGAAAAGAAGGAGAACACTTCACCGATCAGACATCGCGTACGGATTAGAAGACCAATATGCAGGAGTAGGTTCTGTGCAGTCTTCACACAGAACCATGCAATCGATTATGGGAGCACAACAAGTTTCTAGCCAAAGTGAATCGCAGGGATCTGTTAGTCCACCCCTTTTGCCAATGTACCAGGCATACCGACCTAGGTCGCCAACTCTTGGCCACGGACCGTCAACATCGCGTGAACGACAACCTCTTGCAACCCTTACTTCAAATCCAGAATATGAACATGGTGTATCGGATATATCGATTCAAGATTTTGCTGTCGATGGATCCGCAAGGACATCCATGAAGACTCAAGACTTTTTCGATGCTGCAGAACAGATCATGGCAATGATACGAAATAAAGCTCGCCCGAAGAACGACCTTAGTAGTGTCGAGGAATCTGAAGCTGAGATTACCGAACAGCACGACGTAACTGCTCCGGTCGAGGATGAGAATTCGTCACAGGAATCCACACAAGAGCCTTTCTTACGGCCCCCAAGTCGAGAAGGACCTCCTCTTAGTAGAGCACCAACCCACCAAGAAGATCCAGCTGTTGCAGATCGGCTAAAGCAATACGAAGAAGTTAGTGACTTAGGAGAAATCATAACGAATTCAATGCATTCCATGGGGCGAATCAGGAAGGCTATCAATGAGGCTAATAGCCTTACTGAGTCTATTAGACAAAGTTTCCTCGCTGAAAACGGATTGGACACTTCTCCTGATGATCAAGATATCGTTAGCGACCTTGCCAACGTTAGGATATCGCGCAATCCGGATTTCCCCGATTTTGGCGAGGATACTGTCGAATTCCCCACGAATGCGACACGATCTTCTGGCGCTTCGACTGCGCGCTCCATACATTCTAGTTCCTCTCACGCATCGGATTCCAAGAGGCTCATAGCACCAGATGTCGTTACACCCCTCATCGGCAATCAGGTAGGCAATATGGTATTCGATAAGGAAAGAAACGTCTGGTATAAGGTCAAACAACCACGTCCTAGTTTAGATGGTAGGAACGTTCTTCCATCCGAAGATAGCGAGGATCCTTTTGCTAGCATCCCGGATCTTTCAGTTGATACGATTAAGGAGACGGAGCATTTGGGTTCAACTGTGAAACAGGATGTGGAAGACGATGACCAGTCTCTACAAGAGGAGTCTTCTGCAATGCCTTCCCCTGCCAAATCACCTACTGTGCCACCCGATTCCGTGAATGACGAAAGCATGTTGAGCCAGACAAGCGAGGCTTTCGCGGGAATGAAACAACCCGTGGTAGAGACTGCAGTCGAGGACGATAAAGAGATTGAACACGAAATAAGAATACACGAAGACCGGATGCATAGGTCGAGTTCCTCGCGCCAACGAAGGAATCTCACAATTTCGTTCTCATCTCCAATCGCTTCCATTATTCAAGATGTTGCTCATCTTTCCGACGACGACATCGCGGCTCAAGAATTAGGTCTCTTAGATGAATCACCCGAACACCTGTCAACGAATATGCTTAAGCCAGGGGGGCGTTCCAGAGCATCCAAATCTGTCAGCAATTCGGCTATAGGGTCGAGGTCACGGAGTCGTTCCGCAAGGAATCTGTCGGTCAAAGGGCAAGAATTCGTGCCCCGGCCTGTGTCACGAATAGACGAACAAGATGAGGATGCGAACGGGGAGCAAGCAGAAGGCGAAGAGCGTCAGATCAGCCTTCGCGAAGATGAGAGTACTATTTTCCCCGAAGGCAACCGTCAGGGGAATACCAGCGTGAGCGTCGTAGTGACGCCAGCTCCTACAAAAGCCTCCCACAATTCGGCAACGCCAATAATTGGGCAATATGTCGGCACTTTCTCGCTCAGCCCTCTGTCTGATTTTACCATGCACCAGGCTGATCAGTCCTGCGGACTAGAAGTCAGCTATGTTGTAGGAGACCGTTATCTCGCTACCGGAGATGGCTCCAAGAAGATCATGTCTAAGGCCATCCAGAATCTGGTCGAGAAGATCACCGAGGTCGAGCCATTCGAGCCGGACTGGGAGACGATGCGTGAGTTGGATATCAATGGCAAACAATTGAAAACGCTTCATATGTTGGACGAGTTTTGCACCAGTGTTGTCACCCTTGACGCATCCAATAATGCTATCGAGCATCTCGACGGCATGCCCGTTAGCGTTCGCAACTTGCGCATTGTCCATAACCGCCTCTCCGAGTTGACGGCGTGGGGCCACTTGATGAACTTGCAATATGTCGACGTGTCGAATAATCAGATTAGTAGTCTGCATGCTTTCAGAGATCTCGTCCACTTGAGAAACCTTCGTGCCGATAACAACCTGATCACTGATCTGGATGGTATCAAGATGCACGATAGCTTACAAGTGCTCCGAGCCAGAGGTAACCTTCTGGAAGAGGTAAACTTGGATGGCACGATGCTACAGCGCCTGACGGAGCTCGACCTGGAGAACAACCAGATCAGCTCGATCCAGGGTGTCGAGCAGCTCACAAGCCTCACCTCTATCAACTTACAGCACAACAAGCTATCATCCTTCGCTCCCAGCGCTAACGTCGCGGTGCCCAACCTCAGATACGTAACCCTCTCTAATAACGAGATTACGACCCTCGACCTGTCGCCTTTCACCTCGCTCCGCCTCCTGCACGCGGACCGCAACCGACTGACGACCGTCAGGGGCTTCTCCCGGTGCCGCCGCCTCGACAGCCTCTCCCTTCGCGAGCAGCAAGGCGACGCACCCCTCGACGCGTCGTCGTTCCTGAACGCGGCCTTCGAAGTCCGAAAGCTTTTTCTCTCGGGCAATTTCCTCTCGTCGTCGTCATTCGCCCCCTCGGTCGACTTCCTCAACCTGCAGTACCTCGAGCTCGCCAACTGCGGCCTCCGCCGCCTGCCCCCCGACCTCGGCCAGCTCATGCCCAACCTGCGCGTGCTCAACCTCAACATGAACGCGCTCGAGGACCTCACCCCCCTGCGCTTCATCCCGCGGCTCAAGAAACTGCTCGTCGCGGGAAACCGGCTCGCGGACCCGGCCCAGGTCGCCGACGTGCTCGCCGGGTTCCCGCATCTCGCGCGGCTGGATCTCCGGGATAATCCGGCGACGCTGGGGTTCTACGCGCCGATCCAGGCGCTCGTGGCTACGGGAGAAGGGGGAGGAAAAGGTGGGTTCGACCCGTTTACGCTGCCGGACGCGGACCCGGCGCGCGACGACAAGTTCTCGAGCCGCTCGGATATGGGCACGCGGATGCGCCGCAGGTTGTACGAGCTCGTCGTGCTGGATAGGTGTCGCCGGCTTAAGATGTTGGATGGCTTGCCGGTCGATGCACCGGCGGCGGGGGGAAGCGAGAGAAGCAGGAAGGGGAGGAAGGGGGATAAGGTGTGGGATGCGCTGGTGAGGAGTGGGGTTGTGAAGATTGGGGATGATGATGATGGTAGTGGTGAAGGTGAAGGTGGTGGTAATGATGGCGATGGCAGGACTAAGGACGGGTCGGTGGCTGCTTTGTCGTAGGGGTGCGAGGATAGCTTTGCTTGATTCCGTCTGTCTGTCTGTCTACCTGCCTGCCTGCCTGCCTCGGTCAGTCTGTTCTGTTCATCGGCTCTCTTATTATCGCATTACCTGCCTCATATTACCTGTTACCTATATTGGATAGGACCAGACCAGCCCAGACCAGCCCATATCACATCACATCACATCACGTCGCATCAAGTCCTGCTAAGCCGGGCAAGAGAAAAGAGAGAGAGGCTTCAGTTCTTTGCCGCGCGGGGCCAACCAACCCTTATGTTTTATTTCTACATTTTCGTTTTCCCTTCTCCCCATTTCTCTTTACCTTTGCCTTTACCTTTAACCCCAAAGGAAGAGATAGAAGGAAGGGGAGAAGGAGAGAGAGTTCCTTCGGGGCTATGTCTGCTATGCTACATGATATGATATGGCATGACACGGCATTTTCTGCTTTTTTTTTTCAAAGGCGGTAACGAATACCTTTTGTTAAACAGACGTGGGTGATGGGCGCCCGGGTTATATATCCAGATAACATTAGGTACATACGGTTAGGGGCGCGCGTTACCTGGGTTATTACAATTGGTGTCTGGCTGACTGGTTCCTCGTTTTTTTCTTTTATTCGGTTAGGATCATCGAGAACGGCGAGGAGTTTAATTTTTCGTTTTTCATTACGAATGAGGATGGATGGATGGGTGAGGGAAGGGAAGGGAAGGAAAGGAAAGGAAAGGAAGGAGTAATAAAAGAGAACTGATATCTGTTTACTGGCGTTTTCTTTTCGGAAAGGAAGGCAGGCAGACAGATGAATAATGTATCTTTGTTTTTATTTTATTTTTATCTTTTCTTTTACACTTTTCTCTCCTCGTTTGTCCTACCTAGGTAGTGAGAGGTAGGTAGGTAGGTAGTGTATGATTAGAAAAGACAAGACTTGCATGGGACATGGTTTACATGGTTTACATGTATGTTACTTACTTTACCTCTAACGCTATGTAGTAATGAGAGATGAGAAAGAAGAGAGGTACCCAAATCTTTTATTTATTATTATTATTTCATTTTATTTTTCCGCCTCCAAACTATTGGTTTTCTAGCAGACACATTTACACTTGCACTTAGGTGGGTACCTACCTAACGCTTTTTCGGCGTTTCCATATCCCTGGCGATGCTTTAAGGTTAAGGAAAGGAAAGGTAAAGGTCAAGGAAGTTTAGGTTCGGGCTTAATAAGTCGTGCTGTGTTGGCGAACGTGCGATGTGATTGCGATGTCCACTGTCTTCCGTCGGGTTTGCCAACTGCAGTAGTAAGGTTGGTTACCTGGGTTATAAATAGGTACGAGTAATTATAATGATTTGTTAGGTATATTCGCTTATAATAAGCAAAACCATCGCGGTCTGATCATCTATCTTTCCAAGCAAATATATAAGGTACCTTATATATATGCCCTGTCTTATGTAGATATCATCAGCGTGAAGCTTAATGGACGGCCGAGAGAGGTAGCTTTGGATTGGGTACCTAGCATTGGGCTCGACTTTTACCTGTAGGTACCTACCTAACATAGGCCTAGGTGGAATTAAAGTTCTCTACCACGTATCTCGTCATCATCGCTTCATTACCGATAGCTTACATTAGGTACATAAGTAATACACCTCCGAGGCAACACGATATCCTCCTCATGGCGACTATGTTGTTGTGTTAAGTAAGGCAAGCAGGCCATACTAGTATATCATATAGATTAGGTAGTTTTCCATGTAGTTCACGAGAGAACAATGTAGTAGTAGCTATACTCCACGAAGTGAAAAGAAAAGGCACAGCGCCTGCTACTTTCATTCTGGAACAACTATATACTATATACACAATATCCACACTATGCGTGTATGCTATGCGTAAAGTCGAAAAGGAGGAAAAAGGAAAAGGACATAGCGCGTTGTTGAAGTACTATAATAATGTAAAAAAAACGCCGAAAGCGATGCTGGGTATATTTCCATGAATGCTGCTGAGAACGAGCTTTCCCCCTGATAATCCCAGCGGAACATGTCGTGATATACAAGACTCCCCCTTGTTCCCTCCCCTGACGAGGTAACCTCTTTCAACTCCGACTCCTTAAGAATTTACTCTCTCCCATTATTTCATGTTCCATCGTATTTATCCTTGGTTGCTAGCGGTACTAGCCGTTCTCTCGTGTCCGAGACCTAACACCTTCTGTAAACTTTTCTTAAAAGCCTTTCCCGTCGCGTGGCTACCGTCATCCTTCTCTGGATGCGATGTATTTTCTGCTGGATTGCTTGGATCCGCCTGTCTCCGCCCCAGAAAACTGAAGCTCATTCTTTTAGATGCGTTGCGTCTCGGTGCGTTGTTTCTACTCTCCGCACCGTTGGTCTTCTTACGAACCGCCACGACGGCAGGAGGATCGGTGCCTCGGGGGGGCCATTCGCCATCTCGTTTCCAACCCGCCACACAAGCACGAACCACATCACCCAGATTAACAGGGCATGAGGGTGTCGCGGATTGAACTACGATCTTATCGTAGATAGTTGGATATGCGGCTGCGGTGATAGAAGCACGCATAGGAGTGGCGACAGGCAAAATAGGCTGAGGTATCGGTATTAGAGTCTCTACCGGATAAGTAGACGAGTCCTCTCTGGTCCTCGTTTCTCTGAATTCCGCGTCCGATGACGAAACGGCAGTTGTATCGCCGGATGTGCGCGTCGCACTACGACTGAGCGTCGTACCCGCGCCTATCGATTCTGTGGGCGACGAGGGTGATGGCGAAGTTGAAATATGCCACCATGAAAGACGTTTCGAAGCGGGAGAGGTGACTACTGGGGTAGTCGCCTTTGGACGTATTCGTGCTGCCTTGGCGCCTGTCCAGGCGTCTCGTCGAGCATTGAAGCAAGCAAGTCCCTCATTCCATTCCATCTCGGAGCGCACCGCCCTCCTCCGCTTAGCACTCTTAGCGAGAGCTGCTACTTTCACCAAAGTGCCAACCGCATCTGGATTATCAAAACGATAAGCCGTTGATGGTGATACGGCAACGTCGTCGTCGTCGTCGTCTTCATCATCGGGCATATCCGATAGCCACTCAGACCTGGGGCGAAAATGAGTGAGATCTTCTGAAACGGTGCTGTACACTGAAGCAGCGTCGTCTCCTGAATCGATGTCCTCAACGACCACGTCGTCGTCATCGTGCCCCTCTGTTGTCCTTGCTGCTTCTGTCCCGCCAGTTTCCGGGTTTGGCTTTGCAGTCACGGGTCGCCACTCGAAATTCCAGTCATTTCGTACCTTAGCCGCTAGGACGCGCTTGATAGCTTCCTTTTGCTTGGTTTTATCTCGACTCACGAGGTCAGGGTCATAATCCAGAGGTGCGGGGGGCGAACGCGAGTGATGCCTTAACCTCGAGAGAGGAGATTTTGTCGACTTGTACAAATCTGAGAGCAACATCTTGGATGAAGAAGCGGAGTGTCTTCTGGCTTGGCCAGCCCCGGTTGATGATGATATAGCCTGGTCGATCTGGACTTCTGCTTGTGTGGGGTGCGGGGAATCAGGGTGACTGGTGGTGCCATGAAAGATTGGCACATTCGCTAAGAACCGCATCAGTCAATCATACCCATTAAGTACAATACCCCGGACTATTGGCGTGGTATTCACTGGGTCTCTCTTTTTTTTTTTTTTTTTCTCTCTACATCAGGTAACTAGTAGAAGCTTGGCAGAGAATGCATGTGAACCCGGGATCGTGCGATGGTAAGTAAATAAACAAGGAGATGGGGTTTAATATGCTTTTCAAGCGGCCTTTTAAAGTGTACTTGACATGAGGCATGAATGTAGGACTGGAGGAGCGAATAGGATACGATACATCCGATCATTGCCATCTCGAGACTACTACCGACGGTTGTCCGAAGGAAGACAAAATCTTCCGTAATATCATGATTTAAGAAAACAGGATTGGATGAAAAGAGAGCTAAAGGTATAGAATAGGACTGAAGATACAAAGTTCAAATTGACTTACACTTGCATTCATCATTGTTGGAATTATTGTTAGTACCCGACAGCTGACGGTCAGGGCCAGGATCACGGTCAAGACTAGGCCCAGTCGGGTCATGGGCGTCGACTGACGGGGAGTCCGCCGGTGCTGACGAAATTCTTTCTGAGACCTGCATCCTGAAGGAAGAAATGGAAGAAAAGGTAAAGAAGGAAGAAAAAAAAGCCTCGTCTGATTACAGCTGATGAGAAAGGCTTTGACGATCAAGATAGTAGGTTCGGGGACTAAGCAACCAAGACCTGCAATCTTAATTCTCAAGGTTAAGGTTATGCATCAGACGACACCGTACGAAAACTTGCATAGAGATAGGAGCTGAGTTTGAAATGCAAGTTGGTTAACGAGCCCTGGTTCGTTGTTTTGTTGTGTCAGCCGAGGATCGTGGTGATGTCCGTGTCGTGTGACCGAACCTGCAAATGCAGATACGTTGTATGTACCTAAGGTATGGCGTATCATGTAGGTATGCATGTAGAATACATGTAGAATAATATGCAGACTTGTTACCAGCTGGAGTGGGCCACGAATTCAAGTCTCGCTATCGTTCCTCTTTTTACTCTTAGGGTTTTACCAAACCTATCGAGCCCATCGCGCACAGTCCCCGAGGGGGGTAGAAGCTAGTGACGATACATGCCTCGATACATGCCTCGATACAACATAGCTCGTGTATGCCGACTAGATAGGTAATAGTTTAGGTGGTAGGCGAATATGGATATGTAGTATTGAAGAAGTAAGGTTGTAGTGATATTTTTTTTCTTCCTCTTGGTCAACTGCCTATTAATTAATTAATAATAAAGCTTAGGTAGTTGTGTTTTCCATGTATAATGCTTAGATTATGTGCAATACCTATATGCATTAACACCGTGTAAGTTAGTACCCAATGCGCTATCGAAGGCTAGCTGCAGGTCTAGTGGAAAGACCCAAGCTGGACCGGGGTGAACCGGGGAATCCACGGTGAAGATTCGCTGAGGAAATCGCAAATTAAGAAAAACAGGCGAGGTCGTTCGTTACATACTAGGCTAACCTTACTAAGGTACCTCTCATAGTGTTAGGTAACTTGGTAGTGTAAGGTATGGAGGAAAATAATAAGAATACCTAACTTGCGTCATTGACAAAAGATACCGGACGAATAAAAAAAAAACTATGTAGGTAACATCCTAAACAAAATAGGTATCGTTAGAGGTACCTAAGATAAGGTAGTGGACCATGCTGCAAACAACATGCTTATATTAAAATGACTCCGCATCAACTCTCTTTTCAGGTCGCATTTCGCCCCGAGACTCAAGAGGCAACGGAGACAACGAGTCATTATGATGATTGATGAAGTGGTTCTGTTGTCAAGAGAGATACTTAAGACTGATCATCAACGGTTTCTTCCACCAAGCCGCTAAACCTAAAAATAAAATAAATACTACGGTTGTACAATACTTATTAATGATGCACATAAGAAAAGGGCTTTTCTCTCTCTTGTCGATCACCAGCCGCGGCACCTGACCCTGCTAGTTCCCCGCATCTATTGGCTCGCTTACTCAGACGAAAAATGGCATGTTGAAAGAAGAAAAAAAAAAAAGAAAAAACCTTAGTATCCACCCGCGAAAGTCTGGAGTGCGTTGCGTCTGTTCCAAAAGTTGATACGACGGATACGTGCATACGCGCCATGCGTAGCTGCTCGTATCGTTGTCTGGAAGGTCCCCATTTCCATTTTTCCCATTCGACGCTGTCTCACTTTTTAATATCAGGCCAATATGTTTCTCCTCTGTACGAGGCGACACAAGATCAATCAGGTAATCACCAGACGGACGGACGGATAAGCAACTCATTTTTTTTTTGTTACCTAAATGTTGAATGAAAATCATGAAACATGAAATTCAAAAACGATGACAACATATCGATTCGACGAAGTCCACCTAAATCTTACATACATACATCATGTACAACTGACAACAGCTCATTCTCGTAATTCCCGAGTTTCAGGTGGTGTAGAATAGTAGGAGGTAAACATCCGGATAGTGAGGAAATACCCAACGGAAGACGAAGTCGACAGACGCTATGGAAATAACTTGGACAAAAGGCCTTACTGTGATACCCCGCGACAGCACCATTACCTCACCAGATCTCTTACGCAAGCTAAGGTCGCCGATGAGCTGGTTATTACCTAGCGCATCAAGTGTATAATATAACGCAAGTCATACTCCCCTTACAGCCGAGGGTCATATCCATAGGCTCTAGCCATCGCGCATTCCCCTAGGGGGTAGGGGGTCCGAAGAAATGGGCCCGACGTTCACTAGGTTAGGTATTCCATGTTGCTATATTCCATATTGCTAAACCCCGAAGCCTCATGATCGATGCTCTCACGCACATCGCGGTAACTTCCCGCATCTGATGGCGGCCGGACTTCGAGTCCGAACGTAAGTCCCTTCGACATCGAGTTCGTCTAAGAGAGACTCTTTTATACGTCTCGATCGCGTAACATATGGCGGTCTGGCTAGCTTCCAAAGACAGAGCTGACTGAATTGTCTCCTTTGCAAGCCTCGAGACCGCGGAGAAGAGAAGGTAATTCGTAACGGCGATTGCGCGGAACCTCCCATATGCGAGGGACGGGGGTCAAGATGAGGCTGGTAAACCCCACGCAGGAGACTAGCTAAGCCAACTGATAATCCGTGGCAGATTTGGGGGGGGGGGGGGGGGGGGGGTGGGGGTAGCGGGGGGGGGGGGGGGGGGGGGGTTAATTTATAAAATGGGGTTATTTGTTTGGTGTGGGGAACAAATGTTTAGGGGATGGGTT